GTTTCCCTGACAAACTTAAAGAAGCCCAAGTGACCCCCTTCATAAAAAGAGTGACCCATTATTAAAAACAAACTATAGACCAGTTAGTGTCTTACCCATATTTTCTAAAATCTTTGAAAAAATATATGAAATTCAACTAACTGAATACTTTGATAAAATATTTAATCCTTTTTTGTGTGCTTTTAGACGTGGACATGGATGTCAGACCACACTTCTCAGAGTGTTAGAAGATTGGAGTGAAGCTCTTGATAAAAACCAGTACATTGCAGCGGTATTAATGGATCTTTCTAAGGCTTTTGACTGCCTGCCTCACAATATCTTGCTAGATAAATTATCAGCATATGGTGTATCCCCCCATGCAGTTGCTCTTTTAAAGTCCTATTTATCTAATCGTAAACAACAAATTAAAGTCAACAATGTTCTGAGTGGTTGGGCTGACATCCATAAAGGCGTACCACAGGGTTCTATACTAGGGCCATTGTTGTTTAAAATATATTTATAAATGATATTTTTCTTTTTGTTAAAAATGGTAGTTTATATAACTATGCAGATGACAATACTTTGTCTTTCTGTACTCCAGATTTTGATTTATTAATTTCAACTTTGGAATATGAGTCAAAAATACCTATTGAGTGGTTCCGGGTGAATAAAATGCAAGCAAATCCCGATAAGTTTCAAGTTTTGGCTGTTGGCAAAAAGACCTTTGAACAAAACCCATCTATACATATTCAAAACTCGAACCTTACATGTGAAAAAACAGTAAAATTATTAGGCATTGAAATTGACTATCAGTTAAATTTTGATGTTCATATCAGCTCAATCTGTAGGAGGGCATCACAGCAACTAAATGTTTTAAAACGTTTGGGCTCAGTTTTGGATAGACTTAGTAAACTTACTATTTTTCATACCTTTATTCTTAGTAATTTTAATTTTTGTCCTTTGGCATGGCATTTTTGCACTGAGAAAAATTCCAAAAAATTAGAAAAGGTGCAGGAAAGAGCACTCCGTTTTGTATATGAGGATTTTACCAGCCCCTACGAGGACCCCTTACTTCAAGCTAAGGTGCCCTCCTTGCAGATTAGACGGATTAGAACAATGGCTCTAGAAACTCTAAGATTATAAATAATATAGCTCCTGTGTGCTTACAAAATTTGGTGAGTGTCAAAAAATCTAAGTATTCTTTCAGGTATGTAAATATTCTGGATGTTCCACAGGTAAAGTCAACCCGTTACGGTAAAAAATCTTTCAAATTTGCTGCCGCTACTTTATGGAACAGCCTTCCAAACCATTTCAGGACTGAAAATAGTTTTTCACATTTTAAAAGTCTTGTTCAGTCCTGGAATGGTTTGGAATGTCGCTGTTCTGCTTGCAGATAATTCTTGAGATGTTTATTATTTATGTTGCTTTTGGTTGCTCTCGTCTAGCATGTTTTATTTCATTTTAAATTTGTTGCTAAATTTTTATTGCATCCTATGTAAGTGAGATTTAACTTCGTATAACAGGTTGTTTTATATGTCAAATTAGACTGTTTTTATGTTATGTATATGTTTTTATATTCGGTCAAAAGCTCCTTAGAGCTTGTGTTGTGTCTTTTAACTTATGCCGAATCAAAATAAAGTTTTTCTTATCTTATCTTATCTATCATACAATTCTTCTTTGACATCGTAGCCAAAATCACAGGGGATAATAAACTGCACACGAATTTCTATTGAGCACTACTTCTTATGTGCAACTTCAAAAGTTTTGGGTAGTTGGACGATCATTTTAGGTTTTTCTAGTCATATTTTTTGTATTCCAGAAATAAAAGTATTAAAAAAATGTCCAATTAGTTATAAATAACATAATAGCCAGCTAGATAATAACAATGGCACATATCACAGCATTTATTGGGTAGAACACAAATCTAGGGTGCTCGCATAAGGCAGCTTAACTGCCTAAAAAATAATTATTTTTATTTTCCTGTATTTTAACTAGAGTATTTAAAGAGCTGATAACTCTCAATCATCGAATATAGTCGAAAAGTGAGGAACAAAACTAGGTATTTTGATATTCACACCGGGTGGAAAACACAACAACATTTAAACTCATTATTAAAAGAGGGACGAAAGATACCAGAGGGACAGTCAAACTCACTAAAGTGTCCACAATAAAAGACTGGAACTATGTTGACACTGTTGTGAGCGCAACAAGCGTAGGCTTTAAATCTGCTCTTATGAACTGTTGATGAATCGATGGCTGCTTCACAAGTTATATTAAAGCCATATTGGTTATTAAGACTTATACATACAGATACAGAGATGTTCACATTCATCACTCATCAACTTTCTGTTAACATACTTCTGATGTATTCTTACACCAAATCACCATGTATGAATTTTTTACATTTTTTTTCAAAGTTCAACATATCACAGCACACGGCAATTTGGTTTCAACATTCACGTGAGCATGATATAACATGCGATTGTTGACATTCATTGATATTCAAAATCCTGTTTACTGAATACTTTAAGCGAAGGTATCATTAGTGAGCAATAGCTCACAGTTCCACTTGTTTCAAAAGCATACAACAGAACATTTTGATTGGTTGGCATCCTAAACATTGAATAGTTAATTTCATTTGGGGCACAAAAAATGAAATTAAACATAATCCTTTACAAACTTATATGGGGAATAAATAAAGGCAACAGTAGTATACCGCTGTTTGAAACTCATAAATCGATAGAGATAAAAACAAATCCGGGTTACAAACTAAAACTGAGGGAAACGCATTAAATATAAGAGGAGAACAACGACACAACAAAAACACAACATTAAAATGTAACACACACAGAAACAAACTATAAAATGACAATGGCCATTTTCCTGACTTGGTACAGGACATTTTAAGAAAAAAATGGTGGGTTGAACCTGGTTTTGTGGCATGCCAAACCTCCCACTTTAATGGCAACGTCAAACACAAAAACAAGCATTTATAAATAATTTATATTGCACAAACTTTACATATAAATTATAAAGATATGATCAACATAAAAATCCTAAATCATAACTCTGAATCTCTGCATCTTAACATATGTATTTACATATTTCAGTTATTTCAAATTCAAAAATAGTTAAACAATTTTTAAACAAATATTCAGTTTAAAAAAGATTTACTGTAACACAGCAGTCAAACATGTCCTTTAGCAGTCACCTCTTTTGAATGGAAACCTCCATTCAAACATTACTTTCTGTATTTCCTTTGACATATCATTATGAATATAAATATCATCTTCAAATTCAATGTTATAATTAAAAGATTTAATCTTAAGCCATCCAAAGGTGACCTCTTACAACCAGATTTGGCTGCATTTTGTTTTCCTTTTTCAATAATAAAATCAATTTTTACATGCAGAAAATTCAATCCTACTTCAGACATGGAATTGGCTGATGTATGAACAGATGTCGTGAATGTTAATGTAGCAAGACATTGGTGAACATGAATATGATTTAACTTCTTTTCTCTTATGACTGTTGCCTATTATCTAGTCCATGCATTAAAGATACTTCTCCTTTCACACTGATTGGAGTGTGATATAAATAAGTGATACGAAAAATGTGTAAATCAGTTAGCATGTACTGCAGCTTTATGAAATTGTGACATTATCATTGGATAATTGTTAGGTGAAGGTCAGGTGATCACATAATGGGATGTTAAAATAAAAGAATAATAGCCTTAAATATCACAGATTCCAAAAATTAAAAAAAACCTCCATCCAGACCCTCCCACGTGTATTGAGGTTGAAACATGCCAGAAGATATTCACAAAAATTGCAACTTATCACAATCTAATGACTGTTGAAATTAAAAGTTATTTTTGCCTAATTATTACTGAAAACTGCTGTTTTCTTATGAATTACAGTGGTTTGCCAATGTTACAAATACAAAATAGTAACATGTATGCATCGTCACATTTTTTTCATTACACAATCTGCAAACCAAATTATCTTGAATTGTAACCACATAATATAAATATTCATGATACAAAATTTAAATGTTCCTTCAGTAAACCACATCTTTTTGAACTGTAAATACCTAATTTTAATCATTTTCATGATAAAAAAGCAATAGTTTTGATATTTTTCTTCTACAAAATTATTGACCAGCTGAACACATTGTAAACAACACTTCCTTCTTCAGAATTACATGTTTAAATAATTTTCATATGATTTGCATAACTACAAATAATTGAATGTGATTGGTTCATTAGATTTTACTGTGGATTTGTGATTGAACCGTGAAATACCACTTTTCATGGATTTTGTGTGTAAAGGTAAACCACCAATCTAAATAAGCTTCGTCGGATAGAAATCGACATTATGTAAATAAATATCAATACACCTATCTGTTAACCTATTTCGGGTTGAAAAAATCTCCTACAAAGTCTGTAACTGTTTAAAAATTGAGTTGATATAAAAATCATTCAAACAGACCAAAATTCATCTCTTATTTCATATTTGAATGTTAGAAAATCAAGCACAGTCTTATATATGTACATGTATATGTGCACTAGCATAAGATCGATTTCTATCCGACATACCTCAAATGTTTAACCAAGTACAAATTTTCTATAGGCTTTGTACACAAACTTTGGTAAAATCATGAAATCAAATACCCAGCAAAATACATTTTTTCTCAATCCATGAAAATTGGTACAGGGGTACTCACTAAATAAATGAATCCACATTTTTGGTTAACTGGTATTTTTAGAAAAAGAATACAATTACAACTGTTTTGGTTGAGAATTGTAAGGCTTTTCTAAAGGTTATTGATGTGTTAATTAGCTTTACAAAAAAGTCCTTCAGACTTCTATTCAGCTTGTGAGTGTATGGGCCCAGTATACACATCAATGACCATGATACATGAGTAACCTCCAGAAAATAAGTGTTAAACCCTATAATACTAAGAACCCAGTCAAAAATATATCAGTTAAAACAGACATAAATATCAATAAAATCATTATTAAGTTATAATTTAGAATGCACTATATCCCTAAAGATTTGCGAACAGTTTTTGCAGCAATTTCTTCAAATTTCATCCTATTTTCTCTCCATGTTTTAGCAGCATCTACATTAGCAGCACTTTCATCATTTGGTTCTGAAAATAGAAATAAGATTTATACTGTTAAATAAGTATTTTTGTAGTGAAGAAATTTTTAGAGTAGGTCTTTAAAGGATTGTGGGTAGTTTCATAGTTTGTTCGCCAAAATAAAAATGACAATATGCCTCTGGTTGGTAATTCACTGTTTAGGATGATTTTAACCAATCATGGTGTATGCTTTTGAAAATATTACCCAAAATGCATTAGATTCTGCAACAAAAAAAAATCATTATTTATTGCTTAAGGTCAAATGAAGGTGCAAAAAAGAATCCCTGTATAACTGCTTTGATATTAAAGAGAATATGAACCACAATATTAAAAATAACCAATGTCGAAAAAAATATAAAATATATCATATAAGGCATGAAGAGAGGTTTTTCTGATATGATTTTAATCAATTAACAGGTATTTAAAGATAACAGCAAGCCTCCAGTCTTATACTGAATTAATTTTTAAAAAATGGAGGATGTTTCCATAGGACACAGATGATGCCCCTGCTTGCATAGAATGTTATAAAGGGGCATAACTCGTGAATGGTGAAAGTGATGCCACCAAAATTCGAACTTGATCTGTGTTTTGTGGTAGTAAGCATTGAATATAAGTTCATAACATTTGGTTGAGGCAAACTAAAGTTAGAGAACAGAAACCAATTTTGGGACTTACGGACAGACAGACGTACAAGGGTAACACTTAATGCCCCTCCAGTGACGACGGGGGCATAAAAATTAATAAATTGTTAATACAGAGATATGTCTGTGTGACCAAATCACAAACTTTAACAATTGTTTATGCTGCTGACACTGCCATCAACAGCAAGTTTCTGCAACTTTACTCACAGGCAAAACAATAAAACCAAGAAAATAAATATCCCTACACAAGCAATAATATTGTGGGATGATGTGTTGATAAGGGCATTTACAGCATTAAATGTGAAAATATATTTGATTGACATGAACATGACTAGTCTGGGAGAGATTGCTCTGACATCTAAGTGCCTTTCTTATGACACTCTGAGGACAGGATTGCCCCCGATTAAGCTTTGCAATTTTTCAAGTTAAAAAGGGGCACAACTCTAAAACGGTATGTGACTCACTGCCAAACTTCAAACTCTGTCTGCATGTTGTGGTTCTTAGCATTCTGTATGAGTTTCATAAAATTTGGATGAGACAAACTAAAGTGAGAGTGTGGAATTGAAAATGGGACGGATGGTCAAGTGAAACACCATATGCCCCCATTGCCTACGGCAGGGACATAAAAATATAAATAATAATCCTACCTGCCAACATGCTGAGGACAGATAGTAATATTTTTTCCACACTCTGTACAGGACTCCATCGTTCGGCACTAGATTCATATCCCATTGGATCATCTCCAGGAGCATGTAGTATAGATATGCATACTCTACCATCAGGATATACTGTGGAATAGATCAAAAGTTAGAACATCACTTCATAGTTAACAACCACAAATACAGTAAACATAAGGTGATTCAGATGACAAAGGGTTATGTAAGGGTTGGGGTTTGGATTAGGCTTTAAATAGTTATGTTTAAAGAATTGTTATGGGTCATACGCTGGATTTTACCCCCACCAAAACCCCTCTTACCCGAACCCTAACCCATTGATGTTTTTATTAGTCAAGAACAAAAGTAAGAGGTTTAAAGACGATCAGTAGTTTTAACCATAAACAATGCCAACTAGCGATTCGGCAGTGTTGTTTCAATGAGATGAATTACTCGGCAGGCAGTCCTGGAAGTCAAAGTATCACTCTTTGAAGTAATTTTTCACATTGAATTCTGGTGATTGTGGGTGATTCATTATGAAATTCCTCTCTGTAAAATTAATATATACATGTTGCTTTTTGTGACAGGGTCACAAATCAGGGGTCTAACACTGTTAATCACCAGCAATTAAAAGTATCTAACTGTAATTCACCCTGACAACATCAGGAAGGGTGATTTTTAACAGAGTCCCTGGATTTTGAAAGACCATAAATAATTTGTTTATTTTAAGAGTAATGTTTTGTTTATGTGTCTTTACATGTCTGGCTTTCATAAATTTTAGAATTGTACATTCCTGTTGATAATAATTGAGTGAGAGATATGGTTTCACTCAAATTTCTTAAACTGTGTGCTATTGTTATTTTTGGGTTTGACTTGTAATGTAGAATTGTATCGAAACAATCATGTAAATGTACTAAAATAAAAACAAGAGTGCACACGCTGAAATGTCTCGCCTTCTTTACTGACTATTGATTTTATGTTGATAGTCCTAAATATAAAGCTTTACTAAAAGTATCACATAAATTTAACATGATCCAAGAAAATGAGGTCAAGGTAAGATAAACCAAACCGGAAATACACGTACACCTTACAATCATTCAATACACCAAATATAGTTGACCTATTGCTTATAGTATCTAAGAAACAAACTTAACCATGAAAACTTAACATTGACCAATAAACCATGAAAATGAGGTCAAGGTCAGATGATACCAGCCAGACAGACATATATACCTTACAATCATTCCATACAACAAATATAGTTGACCTATTGGTTATAGTTTAAGATAAAATGCTTTTTTGTTGGATACGACCGCAGAGGTCCAACCCTGAACAGTTGGGGCAAAAAATGGACACAATATTCGCGCTTGATACAGGCCTGAATTTGGATTGTAATTAAATATTTGACACATAATAGGTTTCTGACACCGAATAACTGTAGTCAAAGAACTCAAAATTGGTTATATGATTTGAATTCATATTCAATTTTTTTGCTTTTGTGCAATACACTATGGTGTTGCAAAATTGCCCCCCCCCCTCCAAAAAAAAAATTTTCCCCCCTTTTTTTTTGCTTTGGTGTAATATACTATGCTGTTGCATATTGACACCCCCCCCCCCCCCCCAAAAAAAAAAAAAAAAAAAAATTAAACCCCCCCTTTTTTGCAAAAAGAATTAATAATTGAAGAAATTTTCTTTTTAATTTCTGAATTTTGAAATGAAAAAAAAAAATTGCCTCCACAACTTCTTTTTTACCCCCTTCCCCCTATTTTTTTTTTCACCTCCCCACCCCCACAAAAAAAAATTCTTTCTTTCAAGATATGGTCATAATCTCAATTCAAATTTCCAATGGAGTTTGTAACCATAATTTCCAATTTAAATACATCATAAAAGTCTTAAAATAGAAAAAAAAAACCTCCAAATTTTTTGAACCCCTTTATGATTCATCACCACCAAACTCAATCCCAGCCTTCCCTTTGTGGTATGGTACCTTGCAGTACAATTTCAGAGAGATCCATACACTTGAACACAAGTTATTGTCTGGAAACTAGAAAAATGCTTGTTATTTGGCCCCTTTTTGGCCCAAAATTCCTAAACGTTTAGGGCAATTACCCCCTAACTCAAACCCAGCTTTCCCTTTGTGATATGGAACCTTGTAGTACAATTTCATAAAGATCCATACACTTACACACAAGTTATTGTCCTGAAACTAGAAAAATGCTTGTTTTTTGCCCCTTTTTTGTCCCTAAATCCTAAAATTTTGAGGCAATTACCCCCAAAATCCATCCCAGCCTTCCCTTTGTGATATGGTACCTTGCAGTACAATTTCAGAGAGATCCATACACTTGAACACAAGTTATTGTCTGGAAACTAGAAAAATGCTTATTTTTAGCCCCTTATTCTTAAACATTTTGGGCAATTACCCCCAAACTCAATTCCAGCTTTCCCTTTGTGATATGGAACCTTGTAGTACAATTTTAGAAAGATCCATACACTTACACACAAGTTATTGTCATGAAACTAGAAAAATGCTTGTTTTTTCAACTTTTTTGGCCCCTTATTTCTAAAATTTTGAGGCAATTACCCCCAATTTCAATCCCAGCATTCCCTTTGTGATATGGAACCTTGTGGTACAATGTCAGAGAGATCCATGCACTAACACACAAGTTATTGTCTGAAAGTTACAAAAATGCTTATTTTTGGCCCTTTTTGGCCCCTAATTCCTTAACTGTTGGTACCATAACCCCCAAAATCAATCCCCACCTTCCTTTTGTGGTATTGAACCTTATGGTAAAATTTCATAGAGATCCATTCACTTAAACTAAAGTTATTGTGCGAAAACCAATGTGTCTTCGGACAACGACGACGCCAACGTCATACCAATATTAACAACCACAAAGTCGTATAAAAAACAGACCAAAACACAAAAACTAAACACTGAGCAATGAACCGTGAAAATGAGGTCAAGGTCAAATAAAACCTGCCAGACTGACATGTACATTGTAAAATATTTCCATACACCAAATATAGTTGACCTATTGCATATAGTACTAGAAAAAAAGACAAAAACACAAAAACTTAACATTAACCACTGAACCATGAAAATGAGGTCAAGGTCAGATGACTCCTGCCAGTTGGACATGAACACCTTACAATCATTCCATACACCAAATATAGAAGACCTATTGCTTATAGTATCTGATATATGGACTTGACCACGAAAATTTAACGTTGTTCACTGATCCATGAAATGAGGTCGAGGTCAGATGAAAACTGTCTGACGTGCATGAGGACATTTGCAAGGTACGCACATATTAAATATAGTTATCCTATTACTCATAATAAGAGAGAAATTAACATTACAAAAAATCTTTTTTTTCAAGTAGTCACTGAACCATGAAAATGAGGTCATAACATAAGGCATCTATATACAAAGTATGAAGCATCCAGGTCTTCCACCTTGGTTAAATATAAAGCTTTTAAGAAGTTAGCTAACACCGCCGCCGCCGGATCACTATCCCTATGTCTAGCTTTCTGCGACAAAAACCTCGAGCAAAGTTCAACCTAAACTGTTTTGGCTGTTCTGTTTCGACACTTGATTTTATGCTTAGAAATGATTCCTTTTCTAAGCCTTTAAAACTTTTGGTCCTCGAGCATATCTGTTGGAAGTATATTACAAAACATATGTTATTTGTAGGAAATTGGTCACATGACATGTATTTCAATCAGATTGCATTGTACCGGTATTAAATAACTTACTATTTGGATGAAATAATTCACAGGTAAACTTCATCTTAGGAGGATTCAGAGGATAATCTGGTGGGAATGCTAGTCTGGCGGGAAACACTCCTCCCTCAAAACACGTATTTTCTGGTCCCCTGTAAGAAAGTTATAAGTACCCAATAATTTATCTGCTTGACAATAGATCCATTCATGACAAAAAGTTTCTGCCTAAAGTCTAGGTAGGTTAGTTCCTTTTTTTTTTATTTGACTGACATGACTGACCTCTGACATGTATCCAATGGCCGAAAAATCCCAAAATGACTGTCAGATGTAATGCAATCTCAAGACTATTTTTTTTAGCTGTGCATGTACTGATTTTGTGTCATGGATGGATACCCCATATCCTTTGTTTTTTACTATCATTCAAAGTTTGATCTTCTACACATGGAAAAATTCTATATTGCAGCTGAAAAAGCTTGAAAACAGAACGAATAATCATTGAAACAATGTTTGCAGCACTTTAACTAACGAACAATCAATCAAAATGTCCTTTTTCTAGAGTTCTTTTGTTTTTCTGCATACAAATTCTGTACGAAGTTTTTCTAGATATTGCACAACTTTCAGTAACTGCCAGAATTATTCATTATTGTGTTTAAAGTACTTTTCCTGTATTGATTTTTATAGCATGTTCTGTTAAATATATTTGTGATAATTTGTATAACGATCAAGATTACTATTACAGTGTGATTACCACATGTCAAGATAAGAACCATTTGACATCTTACTGATGAAGGATATAGTTATCGGAAATATTTAACATTTGTTCATGATTTGATTTTTTTTTTTTTTTTGATGATGATGTTGTATCCTTTTAAACTTGCTTATTATATATATATATATATATATATATATATATATATATATATATATATATTTGCGGCAGCAAATTTTTGTTCTTCCCTCACCAGGATTTATATATATATATATACAAGTCTAAATTGAACACAACTTTCAAACCTATGGTTGCGTTGGATAAAAACCACAATTTTTATACGTGTGCATGCAAAACAAATTTCTTGTTAGAGGGGTCTAAATACAGCACAAACAACTTTCAAAAGACCAAAAAGGGAAAAAGTATATTTTAACAAAATGCATTTGACTAGCAGGTCGAACAACAGATGTTCTTAAACCCTGCTGACTGCCATTGGCGATTGCCAAATAAACGGATCACCAGATGTAACAAAATGGATCTTATTAATTTAATACCAAACAGAAAACAATAAACTTGTGGAAAAGATGGTATCATGCAAACAAAAGGTGCAAAAATTAGTACACCATATCCGGATTTCGCCAATTAATGTCTCTTCAGTGATGTTAGGAATCGAAACAGTATTTGGAAGGCCATATAATTTACCTCAATTTAGGATAGACTCTTGAATTTTGAAGAGTCGAAATAGGATGAACGGATCATATAAACCTGAAGGCAAATATAATACAAGCCCAAACGAAAAAATATAAACAAGTCTAAATTGAAAACAATATTCAAACCTATAATTGCGTTGGATAAAAACCGCAATTTTTATACGTGTGCATGCAAAACAAATTTCTTGGATGAGGGGTCTAAATACAGCACAAACAACATTTTCCAAAAGACCAAAAAAGTGAAAAAGTATATTTCAACAAAACGCATTTGACTAGCAGGTTGAACAACAGATGTTCTAATTCATATATATACTATTTGCCTTTTTTATTGATTGAGATGGGGGAGGTTTGAGATTTTGAGAAACTAGTTTGACCCAGTCAGATATCATGTGACTGTCAAGAAAGAATCATTTATCTTGTCAGTGGTTGCTCTTTTTTGTATCATTATTAATTTTCTGTTTTGGAGATTTTGGTGTTGATTGATTGAATGGTGTTTAACACTACTTATGTGCTATTTCGTGGTGGTCAGATTTCATAGGTGGAGGAAGCAGGAGTTCCTAGAGTAAACCACCAACCTTTGGTAGGAAAACTGACAATCCTAGTTAATTAGTGTTGACAGGCTAGTGATACAGTAGTTTCCCTCAGGCAAAGTTGACCTTAGATGGATTTGGCTATTTTTTAGGTCCTTTTTGGTAATATAGCTCTCCAACTGTGTAGGTCTTATACATCCTTGGCTTTCAAATATTCAGCTTTGAGCGTTCCTGATGAAGGTAAATCCAGAAAAGTGCTTCATACGCATGAAATTTATAATTTGTTGTTTTCATTTTTTGACTTCTTAGACCAGACTGCCACCGAGGCCCCCTGGTGTTGATGTCAGATCTTTATTAATATTGCCCTGTTAGAGGAGAAGGTATGATAAGGCCACTTTTTTGGCCCTTTGAATTTGAAATTTAAAAAAATAATGATACATTTTTTTTACAATAAACATGATAAATCAACAAAATAACATCATTTAGAGGATCATAAGACATAAGTCTGTCAGACATCAGTAGTTACATGTTTTTTAATTGTGTCTTGTCTATTTGCATTACACTGGACGTTAAGCAACCAATAATCAATCAATCTATTTCCATTAGGGCTTCAAACTTCTTGAAATTAGTGCAAAATAGTATCATTTTGAGATCTTTTCATTAAGGATGTACACCTCTGAGGAGCCAAAAATTTCTAGAATTAAACTTTTTTTCTTCAACCTGATTTTTGGGTTTATATGACTGTAAAAAAATAATTGGTGAAGAAAAAATCATATGGTGGTGCACTTCTTTTTTTGCTACGGCCCTTTGAAAGTACCCAATTTTGATGATTTTCCCATTTTTCATCAATTTTTACCTATTTTTGGGCTATTATCGTGAAAAAAATCACAGTTCCACAATTAAACTTTTTTTCATACTTTCAATAAAGATGAAGTGGACCAACCTAAATAAATTTAACTTAAAAAAACTATAGGTAGGTGTTAATATAAGAAAGTTTTAATCTATTTTGATGCTTTTTTGTGTCAAATTAACCATGCTGTCAATTTGGTAAATTTGTGATTTTTCTCTGTTTTAAGAACAAAATGCATATCATTTCAACTTCTTTGTTATAAACGATTGAAAAAATACATATCTAAGAAATTTGAAAAGAAAAAAGTGATATGGGATGTACATGTTTCTGGTAAAATCATTTCTTGTACCCTTCATCCATTTTCTCAAAATTTTGGCTAAAAAGACTAGCTTGATTGGTAATAAAATTTGAAAAATTGATTACTCAAAAATTACTCATTGTAAATACACAATTTTTTCACAGAGTTAAGTTTGATTATAACATTTTTTAAATTCATTGATATTTTCCACTTGTATCACATGTTTTGGAAATAATTCCAGAACGAGATTTCAACGAGACTGTAACGTCAGAAGAATACATCCTTAATATTTAGCTGTGAGCACCATGTTACAGCTTTACCCAAAAAGTTATTTTGCTACAAGATTTGTTTTACACATATGTTAATATGTATAAAATATCTTTTTGGGTAAAGCTGTTGCTCATTTCTACACTGCCCAAAAACTATGTGTTTGAAAAATGGTCATTTTAGGTCAAATATATATGTCAATTTCAACATGTTTACATGCACATGTATGTGATCAAAGAGACATAACAAAATACCTGTCTGCACTACAGTGTCCAGATTACTGTAAATTCAGAAATTATTGCGTGCATTTATTATAGCGATTTTTAAAATATGGACAAAAATGCGAGATTAACAAGCATTGTCTGAGTATTGCATGGCAATACATAGTCCCCTACCGGTTACAAATTCATTGTAATGGAACAAAATTCTAACTTTATCTATAACTTGTCATGATGTAAACTACATAAAAATATCAAGTCAAAATCTTCAAGCATGATGAAAAAACTGTTGAAAACTGATTATTTAAGTGAATTTTCTAAGTCCAAAGACCATAACTCTGCACAAAATTATCAGACTGGAACAAAATTCCAACTTGATCTGTAACTTGTCATGATAAAACTATATACTAAGTATCAAATCAATATCTTCAAGAATGACAAACAAACCTACCACTAAATTCTTCAAACAATTTACTAAAGAAAACATGGAAAAGGAAAAAAATCCAAAATGTCATTTTGTCTTTTAAAAAATGAGTGATTTCCCTTTGAACAGAAATCTACTAATTAATAAGTATTTCATCAAAAATTTAATTCTAGGGAAAGGGCTTTAACTGAACAAAGAGAAAAGCTAAAATTGTGAAAATTGAACTTGACCTGTAACTTGTCATGATAAATCAATAAACCAAATATCAAATCAATATCTTCAAGCACGAAGAAAAAAAGTCTGGAAAACTGACTTGCTGAACTGACAGATGGACAGACAGATGGACGGAGTGCAAACCTAAAGTCCTCTTCGACTTCGTGGGTAGGGGACTAATTATTGCGATTTCAGGAATAATTGCATACAGATATATGAATCAGATATCAGAATGCGTGTTCTTATTATTGCGATATTCACCCAGTCGCATTTTTCACAATAATAAAAACCTCACAAAAATTTCTGAATTGACAGTATATTTAATTGCTTGACAAACAGTGTAAGTGTTTAGGCACATGTCTATTAATGGAGACCTATGTTAACCTCTGAATGTTTTTTTGTTTTGTCAGTGTTGTTGAGTTGCTGTCTCATTGATATATACCCTAAATCTCCTTTTATTTATAAAAATAATCAGTAGTTTAATTTCGCCCAAAGTAATCGAAAGATGACCATTTTTTCCACAGGATATAGTCTATAACTTTTTCAGGATTAAGACTGCAAACATGGAAAACACACTTTGTTCCTAGTTTTGAGAAGTGCCTGCATATCTCATGAAACATTTATAGAGTGTACATGTATATACATACATAATAAGAGCTTCCCATTCAAAGAAATTCTCCTCATTGACAGGTCCGGCTATAATTCCTTCAGGTGGATTTAGTGTCAATTCTGAAAAAAAACAAAAAACTCTCTCATTACTCCATTTGATTCAGCTGATCATGAGACAACCCGATGGGACTACTGTAACTCATAGATTGGTAACTTCACGTTATGGCCAAACAATTATCGTTAGATTCATCGACTTACATGGTCTTTGGACTTGGAGAATCAAACAGACTACACTCCGACCATTTGTCAACAAATTATCACGATTTCACTCCAAAGATTGGACTATATTTCCTGTATGCTGCTTGTTATCTTTCGTAAAGTGAAATGAATGAAAAATAATGTTATAACATGTTCTTTAAATAATAATTAAAATAAAATATGTATTTTAAGAGTAAAAAACTGAAATCTGAGATAAGGTTTTTACTGGCATGTTCATTTAATACACTTAGTTAAAAATTGCAGCTGACCATTTCAATTTTGGTGATTGATAAGTTTCTCAAATAAAGAATATCAACTCTACAGTGTTAATCATGTTGATTGGTGTAACATTTGTAACCATAGCTTTCTAATATCCTTGGTCAAGGTCAACTCTTAATAGAAGTTAGTGCCCTTAAATGACAATGTTTACCAATTCTCTTAATCCTCAAGGTTTGTTAGATAAAACTTTCTGTTAAAACAGGTAAACTAGTAGTATTTTAGCTACAGAAATAACACAGGTAAACTAGTAGTATTTTAGCTACAGAAATAACACAGGTAAACTAGTTGTATTTTAGCTACAGAAATATAAACCGAGACATAAAAAATTCACATGAATTGCTTTCTCATTGAATCGTTAAATTTCAGTCGTCATTAAATTTAAAGATTTACTCTGATGTGTTCTTATAATGAAAATAATAGATAAACAAAATCAAAGAATATGCACCATATATTATCAAATAAAAAATTAAATCATTTGTTCTTTCTTACAACTTAACTTAGTATGGTAATTAGTGTGATGTCCAGTAAATTAAAATGTCCGGTAGCGATAAGGTGTTTGTATGATGACACAAAGCAAAAGTGATTGTTGTATACACTAAACTCAAGTTGTTTTTTTATTAATGAGTTACAACAGTTGACCTGAGGTCAATTGGCATAAACTGCATCATCAAACAATTGGTTCTTTCTGTGACGTCATAACATGAGCATTGTGACGTGTGAAAATTATGGGAAATTGCACGAATTTGAAAGTCGTCTATGATGCCAATAGATCAATTTCGATTTAATTCTAGTCAATCAGGGGTACTACTTGTACAAGTAATCTTCATTTACTTGAAGAAGTAAATAATAATATACTTATATAAGTAAATTTTGTTATGTTCATTCTTTCTTATAATGTTTGAATAATCTCCCCTAATTTTCTCAAAAATTTACTTGTATAAGTAATTTTTTTTTACAATCCTTAAAATTCTCAAGTTTTGAGATGTAAAAACATGTCTTTAACAATTTTTCTCAGGTTAGCTAATATTTTTTTATTAAGAGTTCAATGTTTCATCTCATTAATTCAACAAAGAAACTAATTGCACAAAGATCTTAGGTAATTGCACTTGGCCTTCAAAAATTGCCCCTTGGGGGCTTGTAAATGAGCAGTGTTCTGAAGACAACAGACAAATGATATTTTCATTTTCCATGAAATTCTCTTTAATGATTATTAAAGAGATCTGCAAAGGACAGACAATTAAAATTCTATTAGAGCAAAGAAGTCCTAAGAAATTCAAGAAAAGAAGGTAGTCAGGGCTTTGTTTTTTTTTGAAAATGCACTTATCCATGGGAAAGTTACCTTACAATTTTACTTTCCTGCATTAGTTTTTACGTTCCGTTTTTTTTTTTTTTTTTAAAGTCTGAAAACAAGCTTAATATATGAACAATTAAAAAACGTAAACAACTTATTTTGTAAACAAGCTGGTTTGATTACATTACTGTTTAAGTCTAATAATTTCCGTTTCTTTGATGAATCGTTGGATATAAAATATTTATGCAAAATTAAGGCTTCATGACCTTCATGACCTCCATTACTGTTTACTGATAATAACTAACTACCGCTGTAAACGCAAAGAAACAAGTGATTACTTCAGGAAACCAGTTTCTAAACTAGATTTTGTCCAATAACCGACTTTGTCAAACAACAACACAATGCACCAGAAAGTACCACGTAAAGACGGGAAACTGGTACCTACGTTTTTGCTTACCCAACAATTTTTTTACTTTCCCCAGGAAAAAGGAAATGGGAATTCTGAAGCCCTGATAGTATTTTTTTACTTGTATAAGTAAAAAAATCTGAATGTCTAAGGGACATAACTAAGCCAATAAAATAAATTACCTATACAAGTAAATAAAATACACTTGTATAATTATCTTACAAATTTACTTATATAAGTATATTAATATTTACTTCTTCAAGAAAATAGTTACTTGTACAGTGCAAGTAGTACCCCTGACTGCTAGTCACTTTGGCACCTGGTTAAGTCGGCACCCGGTATAGTCAATTCAGCACCAAGTCAAATCGGGACCTGGTTAATTCGGCACCCATGGTAGTTATTTCAGCACCCATAACTTATATCATATCTTGCAAGTAAACTAAAATTGAAGACTCCATTTTTTTCATATTTTTTAAGATATTTCCGCTTGAGATATTTGTCATGCATAACAGAAGTTCCAATGGAAACTTTGCTATGAACAATGCCATAATATCTGTTCCTACTGGAACGTATATTATCAAGGAACTTCCATTTCACACCAATATACATTGCCGCTAGTAAACATACAAAACTGATGCTAGCATTATTCATTCAATGATTTTTTTTTATCCTTATATGTGGATTTAACAGTAGCTTGGGTAATGCCATTTTTGTCTAATCTAAGACTAAGTTATTTTAATAATTATAAAACATAAAAAGCTACATTCTCAATTCTTTATTATTTTGAACACTACAGTTCATCAGGTTGGGTACAACCCGCCAAATGGGGAACTATTCCCCAAATGAGCATATCCCTCATTTGAGGGTTCTACCCAACCTGTTCATCAGTATAGTATGCATATCATTAAAATAAACATGAAAATGGTTATATCAACACGCGAGGTTATTGTTTGTAATTAAAACCATTTTTTTTTTTAATAAAATTGAGAATGGAAATAGGGAATGTGTCAAAGAGACAACAACCCAACCATAGAGCAGACAACAGCCGAAGGCCACCAATGGGTCTTCAATGCAGCGAGAAACTCCCGCACCCGGAGGCGTCCTTCAGCTGGCCCCTAAACAAATATGTATACTTATTTAATAAATTTTTGAGAAAACTTAAACAGCAAACAAGTTTTTAACAACTGATTATTTTTTATTGTGAATTATAACTGCTTGATTTTTTTTAACGCTATAGGAAATGTATCTTTTCAATTAACCTGTGCAATCGTAGGTTTTGCCCCCAAAATAATATTTAAAAAAAAAACGAAAAACTATTCTCTCCATACCTTTAAAAAGTAATAAAAACTAAAAAAGGAAAGAAAACCCCATAATTTATGGCATAAAGGTAAAACAAATATTTGGTGCCAAATTGACTAACCAAATGCCGAAATTACTTTAAATAGGTATCGATTTGACCAGAGGCCGGTTAGACTTTTTCTATAGGTGCCGAATTGACCAAGTCCTGATTGAACTTGTACCCATTTCGATTTTCCCATTTTTGCAAGTCAAAGATATACACGGCTGTTGGGGAGAGAAAAACGCCCCGTTTCACTTTAACAGCTTCTAGACCATATGAGATTTTTAAAAACAGATATGAAACTAACGCTTGTATTCTGCCATCAACCTTCTTAAGGCTGATCCTGCCATTTTGCATTATATCAGAATTTTTTCAACTCATTCGTGTTATGATTCTTTAACGTGGAGGATAAAAACAGTGTTCCAGAAAACGACGAAATTACATCGATATTGATTGGTTAAAGTTTAAATTGCATTGAATGGCGACCAATCAAATTGGCTGTTTCATTTTTTGCAAACAATGGACATTTAACAGAAAACCGTTGAAAATATTAAACGATTCCGACATTAAATCAGTCTATTCCAGTAAATATGACGTCTGGTTTTTAATTTTGAGAATATTTTCAATTCTAACATATTGGACGGATTGCTGATTGGTGTCTTGTGACGAATAAAAAATAGGGGGCGACTGAAAACCTCTTGGATTTTGCGGATCGTTTATGTTAATTAGATTTTTTCAGCTTTGGTGCTTGAAACAAGGCAACAATGGCACAAGCAAGCCTCGAATGGGTTGTAAGTATTTATGTTCCGATTAAGTATTGACGATTCCTAATGCAGCTCAAAATGACAAGTGAAGGGTCCGTGTTTATTTCTTTATGTAGAGGTCATGAACTTCTAGACCGGTCATGTGATTGATCTATATTTTTTGATTGGCTGTTTTTAGCGCACTAGATTTAAACGGATATAGGTAACATCTACATCACATTCAGCGAAGAGAGCTTCTACGAAATTTAAGCCTTACAATGGCTACAAGTCCTTTGAGGGTAAATTTATACAAGTCATGTCATAATATCTTTTTTCAGATACTCATCTTTCATGCAAGTCATAAACTTTGGAAATATTTCCCCAACTACAAATTGTATACCCCAAAAAAGGGGGAGGGGTTTATGCTAAGAATTTACAAAACTAATGAATATTATTTGAAGTTACATACTACTGTGTGGGTTGGTGGTCTATAGTTAAGACCAATGGTTACAGTACAGTAAACTCTGGATGCTGGAAATTTCAGTACATTGCCATTGGGGTTTTTCACCCTCCCACACACATCTCTGGTACCTAGGGCTAGACTGGACTTTAAACTAGAGTGGGTACTTTGGTTGCCTCAGTTGGTCAAAGGGGCCCCAGACTTTGACCAGGAGATCAATCTCAGTGTTCTAGGATTTTTATGCATGCAACTTCCAAGGGAAAGATGGTATCAAAAATTCACTTGCCCTGAATTTTATACTATTTTAAAAATGTTTTTATAATTTATTATTCCTTTTATCGCATGTTTATACATGTAGTTCGATTTGAAATATCGTCAAACATTACATGCAAAAAATCATGAATTTAAGACCTGGATATTAAATCTTTTACCGTTTGTGTTCAGGTTATTAGGTTTTTTGCGTCTAGATCGGATGGATACTTGACATCACGGATTTTCCTTGCTTAGCTGGCAAGCATATTTATGACGGTGATCGTGAAACACATGCACACGTTTTTCTCCCCTAGACTTTAGAACACCTGCATGATTGACACCACCAACAACGATCTCGCTTTGAGACTTTGATTGAAATAAAGGACCACAAATGGTTACATCGATTGTTTGATCTGTATGAATAGGAATTTTCTGTAATTTGATTTCACTTGCCCACAGACAACAAAGGTTTGAATTTCCACTTTCCCGTGATCTAAATCAACTTGCCACAGGTGACAGGAAAGGGGAATTCTAGAATCTTCAGATATCTCTTCGGTTTGTCTGCTCCTGCCACGTTGGTCAGTGGCCCATGGTTATCTCGGAGTACTTCGAATTCGGCTTCCTCCACCCATAATAACAGATTTCTCGGTGTCCTAGCACTCCCATGGTTTTGGATTGGGGGATTTGTCCTTGGTGATGGGTTGTAAATAGGTTAGTGACACATCACCATTAATCCTGTTAGGGAGTGTACATGGATGCCACTGTACCCTTGCAGCTTTCGAGGGGAGCTCCAAATAACGGAGGTAGCAGCCAGTACATACATATCACCATGTTGCAATATGGTTGTTGTTGATAATTCCTTGTACACAGTGTTTTCCATAAATTTTTAATCAGCAGGCCGATTCTTCTGTACTGCCCAAGGACCATTTACAATCAGAAACTCAGTTTATCTCAAATAGATTTTAAAATGAACTCTTTTCATGTTTAGGGAACTATTCTCTCAACATAAAAAGGGTTAACAAAAGTAAGGTAAAATACCAAATACTTCAATTCTTATAAAAAACAAAAAGAGGGTTACTAGTATGCCGATTTTGCAGGTAATTTTATAGGTTGCATGACCAGTTACCCAGGGTTCTCACTTAAGAATCTGAAAGATAGTCCAAGGACATCATTTTTAGCCATGGTGAGTCCAACAGTGAGAAGAAGAAATTTTATTACTATATAAGTAAATATTTCAGTCTTCATGACAAAATAGAGCAAGGAAATGACATCAAATTAAGATTATATAAAAATTTGATGATGTACAGCTGGCAATCGGGCGGGCAGCTGCCAGTGTCCATGTATTCACATGAAATCTCTTTAACAAAGTCTTTTCAAATTTAGATATATTGTTTCCTGTGGCTAAATAAAGGTTAAATTCGATTTTCATCATTTTAGCTTTTATCGTTGTTGAGTTGTAGACCTTTAAAAGCAAAAAGTGATACTTAGAACGTTGTCCGTGCAATAACTTGAAAACGCTTAGACATAATATATTGTTTCCTGTTGCTCAATGAAGCTCAAGTTTGATTTTCACGATTTTAGTTTTTATCTTAGTTGAGTTGCAGACATTTAAGTATCAAAAAGTTATACTTCAAATTAAGGCTACCCTTTAAAAATTCTTTGTTAGTCAAATTGATGTTACCTAACCATGCCTTGAATGGTTGGGTAGGTTGGTAGGGATTTTTTTTTTGTTAGGCCAACAACATAAGTTATATGTTTTAGACAAGAAAATGACGTTAGAGCAGGAAAAAATCTTTATAAAAAAAATTGAAATGATTTGTGTCATTTGATTGGTAGGCAACATCAAACAATTTGAATTTTATTTTTGGCCTTAGATATGTTGTTTCCTGTGACTAAATATAGGTTAAGTTCAAATTTCAAGATTTTAGCTTTTATCGTCGTCGAGTTGTAGACCTTTAAGTAGCAAAAGTGATACTTGGAGTTGTCCATGCAATTACTTGAAAAAGCTTTGACAGAATCTTTTCAAATTTAGATATGCCGTTTCCCGTGACTAAATGACATGAATGAAGGTCAAGTTCGATTTTCATGATTTTAGCTTTTATCATTGACTTAAGATTGATTTTGGCCTTTCCATTTCTGAACCCTACAAAAATTCATTTATTTTTATGCCCCAGGTTGTAGGTACAAAAAAAAATGTAAGGGGGGCATTTAAGTGTTACCCTTGACCATCTGTCCATCCGTCTGTCTGTCCCATTTTTGTTTCCGCACTCCAACTTAAGTTTTACTCATCCAAATTTCATGAAACTCATACACAATGGTATGAACCAAAACTAGCAGAAAGTTCGAATTTGGGCAGTGTCACTTACCGTTATAGAGTTTTGCCCCTTTTTAAAATTGCATAGCTTGAGCGGGGTCATTTGCGTCCTCAGACACATTCTTCTTTTATTTTTACTTGATCCTGTTTGGGGGTCCAGATTTGCAAATATCATTTTCATGCAGGAAAATCAGGTTTGCTGTCAATCTGACTCTTGTTTAAACCATAACCAGCTCTGGCAATTAATAAGGAAGTAGCATATTATCGCAGGCCTCTATAATAACTTGTTTTTGCACTTGTCCCACAGAATAGTGAAGACATCTTGAACAATAGCATAGTATTCTTTCTAAATACATTTTTTTTGGTCAAGTCTGCAACATTTATGTTACAAAAGGGAGACATAGTGATGCTGTTGTCAGTGTTGTCAACAATTAAACATGTTTAGCAAACTTTCGGTTAAGTCTGTGGTTAAAGATTTTTTAGACATTGATAACTATTTCAAACCTTTGACGTTTGTGGAATTTTATAAAATTTGGTCAAAAGCTTTTCCTGATGTACCAACCCTATAATTTTTAGAATGGAAACCCTCAAAAAATGTATACAACAAATGTAATATTTTTTTTTCTTATTATTTCCTACCAATTTGATGTTTCAGACTTTGTTTGATAATATGAATTCTAAAGCTGATAAAAAGAAAATGGTAGAATCGGAAAACATGGATGATATTCATCTGCCTGGTGGTGGAGATGCAGGCTCTAAAGCATCAAAGAAAAGATTGTCTGTTGAAAGAATTTACCAGAAAAAATCACAGCTGGAGCATATATTACTCAGACCTGATTCATACGTTGGTTCAATTGAAACTTTAACACAGGTTTGTCACTTTAATGATCATAGTATATCTCCTTAGGGAGAAGAGCATCAGGATACAAGATAACATATATATGTATGTATGAATGTATTGTTTTCATGTTCCAGAGAATAATATAAAATACAGTGTGAATCGCCCAAAATCACCAGGAAACAATTGTTAAGTGCACTATCTTTTGTGAAGTGAGTTGATTATATATATGATTTTTTAAATGAAACATTCCAAAATAAAGTGTAGTAGCTTATGCCATTAAAAAAAAACTGCCTGAGACTCTTTAATTATACCTCACAAAATGGGGGAATATACTGGTGTACGTCAGTCTCATGAATTTTTTTTGTCGACTACAAATAAGGGCTTTCTAATATTTGGAATCACGCTTCATGTGATGTGTTTTCAAATCCATTGCTCCTTTACTTTTTGTCTGCCTTGTAGCTGGGGTATTATTTTCATAGTTGTCTATTTTTTAAGTTCTTTCAAATACATGTTCATGGCTATTAAAAGATCTTCATGTTTCAACAATATGTTTTTACCAATCCTTGAGGAACATGAACACCTTCCAATTTGTTTGAATTCTATCACTAGTATGAACTTTAATTTGAACAAACAAAACATGATGCCTTTTTTTTCATCAAGGGAAATAACTAGTCTAAAATGTTTGGCAGAATGTTTTCAGGGTTTGACACTAACTAAATGTATGTACTAGCCTGCAGGGCTAGTGAAATTATTATTCTACTAGTCCTCTTATCAAATCACAAGCCCTCCAAGTGCCGAAGGCACTTGGACGGTCGTGCAACGGCACGACCCTATCTAGGAGGGTTTGTGGGCATGCCCCCCCAGAAAATTTTGATACAAATGAAGCAAAATCCTGTGTTCTGGAGCATTTCCAGAGGGTTTTGAACATGTTTTATTTCATGAAATTTCACTGGTTTGCTAATAAAAAAAAAAAAAAAACCCCAAAAAATTTTCATATTTTAATCATCTATATTAAGAATGTGTTCGACTTAATTTGAAGACCCCTTAGATCATTACTTCATCATCCTCCTCATTTTACTTATCATTATTACTAGTGTCTTTAATAAAGATGGGTAAGTAAGGGATTTACAAATACATCAACAAAAGAGGAATGGTTTGCCCTTGCTGTTTTTTGTCATAATTCTTCATGGACTCCTTCTTTTCCCTTGTTGTTTGTCAGTTTTTTTTTTTATTTTGCAGGACGAAATTTTATTCCTAAAAATCTATATATTACCAGAGACCTATAATTTAGTATATATTATAAGGAACTTATATATTGACATGTATGTTAGATTAACTGTTCCCAGATATTATATGTCAGTGATATTGTTTGCCTCAAATTACATCCAAAATACAGCTTTTCCCCCTAAAGAAAATTCCCAATTACTAAAAAAAATGGCTTAAAATTCCTCCCAATAAGTTGTACAATTTTCCGAAACAGTGATGGCATCAGTAGTAATGTATGTAAATTTTGTATTTATGTTATTATTTTGATATTCTGAAAGCACTTTTGAGATCCAGGTTTCTGATCAGAATCATCACGGCGTTTGTAACACACGTGGATTTCAATGTATTAAGTACCATCATTGTTTCAGTTTCTTTCCCCTACCCAAAAAGTACCTTTCATGTTAAAAATGTCTGACAATCAAAATATACTTGAATAAACTGTACAATAAAGACAGCAAAGGTCAGCAAAAAAAGTGGGATTTGTTGACAATTAAAATTTTGTAAAATTCCTAGGTATAAACAAAATTTTGACTAGCCCGTCGCACTACTGTGATGAAAACTTTACTAGCCCTCCCTAATTTTTACTAGCCTCGGGCTAGCGGACTAGCGTTAGTGTCGAACCCTGTGTTTTACAGACTTTTAAACAATTTCGGAAGACAAAACTGCTTCAAAAATTTCTGACATGAACAATTTCAATGAAATTGATGGTTTTTGAAGAAAAACAATTTTTATAATGAAAAGACAAAAAAATAGAAAGAGAGAAAAATATTATTTATCTTGATGTATGTGATTATTTAGGTTACACTCAAAGGAGTATGTTCACAAAGGGTCGATATTGGCCCTAAAATTCTGTGAAATTTAACTTTAGTGATAAAAATAAAAATTTAATAACAAAATTTGTAAAATATCTGACAAATACAAATTCAGCAAAATCTGACAGATGAGAATATTTGTGATGTCATCATGACGCCATTATTGTGCACTCTAATGAAGAAAATCATAATGTTGACTAATTTTTTGCTTAAATTGACAGTTTTTGGTTCAAACGACGTTGGCCACATGCACAGACCATTTTTTATTTAGATGTGTTTCTAATCCATATACATGTAAAATGTACATCTCATAACAATTTTATTTTGGTCCAGGGGTGTGGCCAATGTTTTTCAGAAGGAAAAAGACCTTTCCAGTGATGAAATGTTTCTGCAGATTTCCTCTTTTTGAGTTCATGTTTTTTCTGTCATTTTTTCTTTTTTTACCGTATTTTGACTTCTGGGAACGCTATTTGCGCTTTTTTTTTGTTGGAGACCAATTTCATCCTTGCCTTTCAAATGCATATAAACACACAATTTCGCTAAAAACTTGAAAAATAGCATATTTTTGAAGCTGTTAACATTGTTTAAACCAATAGCAGACAACAGAAGCCTAGAGTTTATCTAAATTACATATTTAAGATAGTAAATATAGGTTTTTACACATAGTATTATTAAGTTTGATTTTTAGGGCCAATTTAAGGCCTTCGTGGCCATACTCATTTATTGCACTTTATGATTTTAACTTTTGATCAAATTTATTACAGGCAATGTGGGTGTATGATGACGAAGAAGGTCATATGGTCAATAGAGAGATTACATTTGTACCTGGACTTTACAAAATATTTGATGAGATTTTAGGTATATTTTCTGTAATTGTTACTTATTTATTGTACTCTAGAAAACTTATGCTTTAGTTTTTTTTAACAAGTCTTTTTTACTTGTAAATTTTTGTAGTTAATATAAAAAAACTTAGATATAACTTTGCCATTGTCTCCATTGTAGGATAGGAAATATGATCATCTCCTATCTTAATTTTCACAATAAACTTTTGAACTAATTAACACAAATATAAGAATAAGAATATGTGGTATGATTGCCAATGAGACAGCTCTCCACCAAAGACCAAATGACGTAGAAGTAAACAACTATAGGTCACTGTACAGCCTTCAACAATGAGCAAAACCTATACAGCAGAGTAAGCTGTAAAAAACCCAGAAAAGACAAATGTAAATCCATTCAAATGAGAAAACTAACGGCCTGATTTATGTACAAAACAATACAAGAAAAACAAATATGATATACAGCAACAAACGACAACCACTGAGTTACAGGCTCCTGACGAGAGACAGGCACATATAGAATGGGGCGGAGTTAAACATGTTCTATATTTTGCCGATAAGTAAATCCAAAACAATGATGTTATTGTTGACATATATTCAAACACTATGCTGATTTCTTTTAAGGTAGAAATAAAGAACAAAACTCTGAAAAAACACTCGTCCTGAAACTGCATGAACTATTTGCCACTGGACGCAAAGCAAACAACAAACTGAAAAATCAGTGGCACATTGGTGTCAACCATTTTATTAAATACATTAGAAGCTTCTTAGTGACACAGAATACTTTCATTCTGTTTCACATGAATGCACAACCTTGATGAAACTGTCAGTTGCAAACATATTATCGATTTAAAAGAATTGTCTCCCTTAACCTGTTGAATATTATTTTTGCAGGAATGTTATTCATGTTTTATCATGTTTGTTTGGTTTTTTTTCAGTAAATGCTGCTGATAATAAACAGAGAGATCCTACAATGAATTGTATAAAGATTGAAATTGATTCGTAAGTAATAATTCCAAGAAGAAAATGACCAAATTATATGTACTGTCTATTCATTATTATTTGTGAGGTAAAATTTCGTGGATATGGATTCATGAAACCAAGAATTAAAGTGTTCAATGAAATACAAATATTTTTATACGACCGCAAAATGCGGTTGTATATTGGTATCACGTCAGCGTCGTTCGAAGACATTTGGTTTCCGGACAATAACTCTAGTAAATGTAAATAGAAATCTATGAAATTTAAACACAAGGTTTTTATGACCACAAAAGGAAGGTTGGGATTGTTTTTGGGGGTTTTAGTCCTAACAGTTTAGGAATTAGGGGCCCAAATAAGCATTTTTCTAATTTCAAGACATTAACTTGTGGAACGGTGTATGGATCTCTCTGAAATTATTCCACAAGTTTCCATACCAGAAAGGGATGGTTAGGATTGGCTTTGGGGGGTTATGGCTCAAACCATTTAGGAATTAGGGGCAAAAAAGGGGGAAAAACAAGGGTTTCCTGGTTAATGGACAATTAAAAAAAAGTACAATGTTATGTTTGGATTACCTCCCTTACACTTCTTTAAATTATGTATAAAGAAATGTTGTATTGTCTTGAGGTGATTAGCTGTCAATTTATTTTTAGAAGTTACTATTTAAAAATGCTGATTAAGGAATATTAATTTTAGCCATGATTATGTATGTCATTTTCTATTTTAAGACTTTTATGATGTATTTAATTTTAAATGGGTAGTTATGGTTGCAAACTCCATTGGAAATTTGAATTGAGATTATGACTATATCTTGAGGGAAAGAATTTTTTTTTTGGAAAGGGGGGGGGGGGGGGTAAAAAAGAAATTGTGATAGGGGGACATTTTTTCTCATCTCAGATTTCAGAAATTAAAAAGAAAATTTCAAATTTTTTTTTTTTTTCAAAAAAAAAAGGGGGGGGTAAAAATTTTACTTTTTTTGGGGGGGGGGGAGGGGTCAATTAGCAACAGCATAGTGTATTGCAAAAAAGCAAAAAATTGAATATAAATTCAAATCATGTAACCAATTCTAAGTTCTTTGGCTACAGTTATTCTGTGTCAGAAACCTATTGTGTGTCAAATATTTAATTACAATCCAAATTCAGACCTGTATCATGCGTGAGTATTGTGTCCATTTTTGCCCCAACTGTTCAGGGTTGGACCTCTGCGCTCTGCGAAGCAATTTATTTGTATGCAGAATTTGTGAAAACCACGAAATCCTGTATCCATGAAAATATCTTTTTTTTTCATTCCACAATTATTGGTACCCACAAAAGTAAATGAATCCACAATATGTTTACTCTTACCTCCTGAGCAGAACAGCCTCTTATTCCAATATTGTATGTTCCCTATATCACTGCATCCACATAAACTGGACTTTTATGAGTATAAAAAAAAAGGATGTGGTATGATTTCTGATGAGACAACTCTCCACCAGAAACCAAATGACAAAGAAGTTAGCAACTATATCTGTATATGTCACTGTAAGACTTTCAACAATGAGCAATACCCGTACTGCATATCAAATTTAAATGTAAAACAATTCAAAATAAGAAATCTATTGGCCTTATTGATGTACAAAACATCAAATGATAAACAAGTATGATATACACCTACAAATGACAGCCACCGAATTACAGGCACCTGGCAGGGTTAAACATGTTTACGTGTGCCCAATAAAATTAGTTGAAAAGGGCTAGACTCATTACATGAATACAAAGCACAAAAAACTACTAAAAGCGCTGAAGAGCTCAGTACAGATCTGAGAGTACTCACAGTTACTATGACTGAAAAATAGTTGAGGAAAGGTTGAATGTAGCTGAAGTCTGATGTACTTAAGTTATTGATATTCATATTGACCCTTTTATCAATAACAACTACTTGAGAAAGTTTAATGCAACTTGCATGATAAAGTTTTAGAATCAAAGAATCAAATTTTCTCCCCATAAAACAGATTTGTGTAAAAAAAAAAAACAGTCATGAAAATGTTATTTTCAATTTTCATAGTAGATGTTCTAATTACCCACAAATAAATAGTTTTATTTTATCTTTTATTTTCAGAGAAAACAATAAAATAAAAATCTGGAATAATGGTAAAGGTATTCCTGTTGTTGAACACAAGACAGAAAAGATGTTCGTACCTACAATGATCTTTGGTCATCTTCTTACCTCCAGTAACTATGACGACACAGAGAAAAAGGTTACAGGTAAGTTTTAGTCCATGTGAAGGGGTCAAGTCTGGTTTTATTGGGTGAATGACTCTAAAATGAAATGACCGATGATGATAGTATCCTTCAGATTTACAACTTTGTCATATATTGTATGTTTTAAACATAAAGACATCATAGTTTTATAATACATTAATTATTGTATGTTGTGCTAACTTAATCTTTAGGCCACAAAATATATACATCTGTGTCCTGTATCAGTCATTAAAGAAAGAGGTTGATAAGATTTTTGTTGTTTTATTTGGGAGGGGGATATTGCCAGCATTAAGAATATGTATTATCTCTGAAGTCTGATCCCGATTTACACAACACATCTGGTAATTCATGCATGCATGATGGTACATTTGTAATTTCAAATGTTCTGACCTTTTTCACTAATCAATCTTATTACATATTTGACTGAATAATCCAGTGGAAATAAGATTTATAGTCTACTCATATGACAAAAAAAACCACTATTTTTGAATAATTATTACACCCCTGCTCCAAAAAGAGAGGGGAGTACTGGTTTTCTATCTCTGTTTTTCCCTCAGTATGTCTTTCTGTCTTTAATATGCTTATTGATGCTGTAAATGGTAACATTTTGATGTTATCTTTATAGACTTTCAGTACCATAATAAAACTTACAATATATCTTTTTTTTGATAGGTGGTCGTAATGGGTATGGTGCTAAGCTGTGTAATATCTTTAGTACAAAGTTCATTGTAGAAACATCATCAAAGGACTACCACAAAGCATTTAAACAGGTAGGCCTTTTGCTGATTGGACGTTTTCTAATTTATTCAGTTTCCAATACACTGCACAGTTTTAATGAAAGGATGAAGTATTGTAACTAACTTAGAATTGCCTATAAACCAAACACATCAGAAATAGGTGTTGAGGACTTGCATTAAAAATACATTCTGAAATCCTGGAATTAGAGTTTTCATAGAAAATGAAAGACTGATATTAAAAATTATCCTTCTATTTAAAATCAATTTTCTTCTCTTTTTCTCCCAATTTTTAGACGTGGATAGACAACATGGGGAAAACAAAAGAACCTACTATTACAGATTCTAAAAATGAAGATTTTACAAGTGTTACTTTTTACCCTGACCTGAAAAAATTCAAGATGACATCGTTGGATAAAGATACAGTGGATTTATTTACAAGAAGAGCATATGATATTGCAGCAGCTTCAAAAGGAGTGAAAGTGTTCCTAAATGGCAAAAAGTTACCTGTAAGTATCCCCTCAGGAGTTGGAAAAAAAGTTCTCTCAGTAGCAGTAATTCAATGAGAGTGTATTTCATACTGCTTATCTGCTAAGGAGGCAGCATTTAGGGGTAAGAGCAAAGATCAGTTGACCAAGAGTCAGAATAATGTGTCAGAGAAGGGTGACTTGTCTTCTTGCAGACTGAAACATTGTAAACTAGCACTTTAAAAATCTGGCTCAGCTTGTCAGTCTAGTCAAAAAAAATTTGTATTTAAATCAATATTTCTCTGGTGCAACAGCTTGAATCTAGTGAATTTAACTTATATACATTATCGAAGTTACTGTTTATATTTTATAAAATATATTTTTTTTCTAAATATGAATTTAAAATCAATATTTTTCTTGTGCAACAAATTGATTCTGGTGATTTTAGCTTATTATACAGTCTTCACGCTTAACCACAAGCCCAGCAGCCCAGGCTTGTAAAATTGCTTTTGGGCCTGTAAAAGTCATCTCGACAGGCCAACAGAATCTTAACTAAAAATGTTCCAAAAATTTTGCTACAGGGCCTGTAGATATAAAAGTTTATCGTGAAGACTGCTTATATACATTATCGAAGTTCCAGTTTATACAGTATTTATCAAATATATATTATTTTCTAAGTATGTATTTAAAATCAATATTTCTCTTGTGCAACAACTTTATTCTGGTGATTTTAGCTTATATACTTTATCGAAGTTCGACTTGAGCAATTGTGTTTCATCACTGACATGTTTTTATATACTGTAAATTCAGAAATTATTGCGTGCATTTATTATTGCGATTTTGTCATTTTAGACTAAAATGCGATTCTAATTTTTGCGATATTGAGAACAATCCTGTTTAATTCATATCAAAATATTTCAAAATGCGAGTTTAAATTATTGCGATTATAACCCTGTCACATTTTTCGCAATAATAAAAACATCGCAATAATTTCTGAATTTACAGGACTGTGGATTCCTATATTTTCGTGGGTGTTAATTTGTGGTTTTGGCAAAGTTTGCATACAAGCTTATAGAAAATTTATACTTGATTAAGCATTTAAAATTCAGGTTCCTCTATACCCAAGAAATCCATAAAAATTGGTACCATTGATTAATAAAGAATTCACATTCACAGCTGAAATAGCTACAAACAAATGTCTTATTGTAGGTTAAGAACTTCTAGCTACAAACAAATGTCTTATTGTAGGTTAAGAACTTCTAGCTACAAACAAATGTCTTATTCATTGTAGGTTAAGAACTTCTAGCTACAAACAAATGTCTTATTGTAGGTTAAAAACTTCTAGCTACAAACAAATGTCTTATTCATTGTAGGTTAAGAACTTCTAGCTACAAACAAATGTCTTATTCATTGTAGGTTAAGAACTTCAAGGACTATGTGGACTTGTATACCAAGGACAAAGTGGATGATAATAATATGCCGCTTAAAATATGCCACGAAATTCCTAATGATAGATGGGAGATAGCAGTTACACTGAGTGAAAAAGGCTTTCAGCAAGTGAGCTTTGTCAACAGTATTGCCACAACAAAGGTATGTGTCTGGTTCAAAACCTTCTTAATTATTTACAGTTGAGAAATGTGGGCGTTGAAACATATGGCATTGCAATGAACTCCTGGGTTATATAAACAAATTATAAGTACAAGAATGTGCAAAAAAACAAAGTAATTATTTTATCATTTTAAACAGAGAATCTTGGTATATATTCAATGATTTTACATTTTTCTCTCCTCTCTCTCTCTCTATAGTGTACATATAGATTCCACCATTGCCATAAGTGTATTACGATATTTCTCCACTTGAGACCGTTCAATTTCAATATTTAAAGTGTGAGGCTTGCCGAGTTCTTTAAATATTAAAATTTAACTATTGAGAGTGGAGAAATATCGTAATACACGAGTTATAGTGGTGGAATCTGTTTCTCTTATGATTTGTATCCTTCCTTTTCAAAGATTTGTGTTCTTTATATGTGACGTCATCAGGCATGGTTGCCTTTTTTCATGACGTCACAATCGGGAATTTAGAAGAAACCAAGAAAATTTAATGTCATAATTAAATTTCGACCAATCATTTGCCAAGAACAGATATTTCACTTTTGAGGAGAACAATTTTTTCACAATCGGTTGGGAAATGTGAAAATTAGAGAAAAATTTATCTATACAGGGTCTTGTTTAATTATGCTGTAAATCTGAATTACTTACCTTTTTCCCAATTTCTCCTTTAATGTTTCTTTTATCTAACTGTAAAAATATATCTGGTAGGGAATATTTCAACTTTCTTTTCCTACACAAAATCAGTTCTAAAAACACAACTAGTTTTATTGCCAGGGAAGCCATGGTCAGTGTCAATTCCTGTGAGCTTCTGTCACAGACATGGTTAAACAATGAGTCTTATTCCTTATGGATTAGGCACTTTCCACATGAAAGCCATAGGTTGATCAATTTATATAGCACGAAATCTCCCATTGATATAACAATCATTTCAGATTCCAATTATCAGGGATAAAGCAAACCTCAAGCATGCAAAATCACACATTGTTTTCTTGTAACTACACACATTTTGTCAATAGGTTTAAAGATTCGTTTTTAGTAAGTGTAAATACTTCTAATCTCTTGCAAGTAGGTCCATGACATAGTTGACACCGGAATAGGTTCTATATATTTAGATATCTAATATGAATTGAACATGTCAGTACTATTATTTTTCTAGGGAGGAAGGCACGTTGATTATGTAGCAGACCATGTGGTTACTAAGCTGATAGAAATTGTAAAGAAAAAGAACAAAGGTGGTGTCGCCATTAAACCTTTCCAGGTATGTGAGAATAGGAGATGATAAATGTATTAGAGCACACGGTTAAGTTTACAGTTCAAAACCAAATGCAATTTACGTGTTTACTTTTACACATTACAACATCTGAGGGTGTTGCTTTTTACTCTTCTTCTAGCGCGTAATAGGCAAAATATCTATATCTACTCAAATCTGTATGTCCCACCTACAATGGTAGGACAGGATTTATGTTTAGAGTCTGCCATATGTTTGTCCTGTATCAGGTTAAAGTTTTGGTTTAAGGTAATTTACAAGGAAGTTGTGGTCACATCAACTTGAAACTTTGTACATATGTTCATTATAGAATTTTTTAGATTATATGTATGCCAAATTAGGGTTTTGACCCAGAGTTTGCTTATCATGTTTAAAGTTTTGTTTTAAGACAGGTAAAATGTTTGCTTTAATGAAGTTGTGGTCACATCAATTTTAAACTTATTACCTATGTTCGTTATGATGTGATCTTTTTAGAATATTATACCAAATTCAAGTTTTTAAACAGATTTCGTGTTAGCGGGCATTTTGTCTATTTCTTGATTTGTGTAAATATTGAAAACATTCTTTTTTTATCAATGATTAACACATTAGTACTAATGACAAAACATTTATATGTCCACTCCAAATGTTGAAAAGCAAAACCGAATTGATCTGACAGCTGATGAAGTAAAATATGTGAGTTATGTAAAACTGTCTTGTGTTCTCATGTTTTAATTCAGTCACTATTTTATTAGACCCAAAAAATAAGACATGTAAGCTTTATAAAAAGCAATTCTAAATTTAATTTTGACTGACACAAATAATATAACCCAGTTTGAAAAATTTCAGTTTTCATTGTTACTTCATTTTGTATTTTGTAGTAATTTTGGCAAATGCAAAAATGTCTTTGAAAGTATATAGCCATCTTGTTTTTTCTTTATTTTTGAATATATTTGAACTTGTATGAATACCCAAACAGGATGTTTTTTGTCTTTCAGGTTAAAAATCACTTGTGGATATTTGTAAACTGTTTAATAGAAAATCCAACGTTTGACTCACAAACAAAGGAAAATATGACATTGCAAGCCAAAAGTTTTGGATCAAAGTGCTTATTAAATGAAAAATTCATCACACAGGTATGAAAGTGCATGTATATACTTCAAGTACAACTTCACCTAATATTAATTCAAAAGGTGATACATGTATGTAAAGCATACAAATAAGTCTCGAACCTTTAACTAATAAAACAAATTTGGAATTTTGGATCAAAGTGCTTATTCAATGAGAAATTTGTTACACAGTTATGAAAGTACAAATATATACAAGTACAAATTAAATCCACCTAAAATTAATTCAAAAGGTGATTCATGGGTGGAAATAAAATTGAGAATGGAAATGGGGAATGTGTCAAAGAGACAACAACCCGACCAAAGAGCAGAAAAACTAATAATTCACATTTGAAATCCATTTGTAATTAGGGCTATTCCAGAAAACAATGTATGGGGGGGTTGGAAGGCAGTTTGTTTCAGCACCCGCCACCCAGACAATTGTAATTGAGAATCATAGTGCATTACAGTGTGAAAAGTTGCTCTGATACCCATCACCCATGTATTATTAATATTAAGTGCCTTCCAACCCCCCCCATACATTTTTTTTGGAATAGCCCTTAGTAGAAATAGAAAATGGTTTTTCGTTAAACTGAACTTCTTGTCCTACAGGTCAGTACTACTAAAACAACCAGGGGTAGAGGGTTAATTGTCTGTTATGGAAAAAAGAGCACAGACTGTAACAAGTTAAAAAAAAAACCACCTGAGTCTGCCACTGCTTATTTCCCCCTTTTCCCGCCTACACACAAAACTATAGTTAAGAAAGGTTTGTTGATTGTATAAGAACAAATTAGTAGAGAGGATTTTCTCCATCTTGAAAGAATTTTCAGTAGTGTGTGTTCGTTGCACACAAAATTTCATTTTTAGTTGAGAATTGTGATCACTGTGAGCTCATGTACAGTAATACTCTCTATACTTTATAGGTTATCACTGTGAGCTCATGTACAGTAATACTATCTATACTTTATAGGTTATCACTGTGAGCTCATGTACAGTAATACTCTCTATACTTTATAGGTTATCACTGTGAGCTCATGTACAGTAATACTATCTATACTTTATAGGTTATCACTGTGAGCTCATGTACAGTAATACTCTCTATACTTTATAGGTTATCACTGTGAGCTCATGTACAGTAATACTATCTATACTTTATAGGTTATCACTGTGAGCTCATGTACAGTAATACTCTCTATACTTTATAGGTTATCACTGTGAGCTCATGTACAGTAATACTATCTATACTTTATAGGTTATCACTGTGAGCTCATGTACAGTAATACTCTCTATACTTTATAGGTTATCACTGTGAGCTCATGTACAGTAATACTATTTATACTTTATAGGTTATCACTGTGAGCTCATGTACAGTAATACTCTATATTTTATAGGTTAGCAAGTGTGGTATTGTTGAAAGTATTCTAAGCTGGATGAAGTTCAAAGCTCAATCTCAATTAAACAAGAAATGCCACAGTTCAAAACATTCAAAATTAAAAGGCATCCCAAAACTGGATGATGCTAATGATGCAGGAACAAAAAATTCAAAAGACTGTACTCTTATTCTGACTGAAGGAGATTCAGCCAAGACCTTAGCTGTGGCTGGTCTTGGTGTAGTGGGGCGTGACAAGTATGGCGTATTTCCATTGAGGGGTAAACTGCTCAATGTCAGGGAAGCTACTCACAAACAGGTATGATATCTTATTGTCTTGTATTTAATGCCACTAAAGTACTTCTAATATTCTTATTAATAATCACTGGGATATAGCCTTTTTTGCTGAGGCAGTGTAAGGCAAACACCAATCTATCAATCTTATTATGAAACCGCTTGTTAGTCTCGTCAAAGTGTGCTTCCCTTGAGTGCAGGAAGTCTGGTTCGATCTCTCCCAGGTCAAATGAAAGACTTGATAGTTGGTATTTGCTGCTTCTCTGCTAAGTATTATAATATTTAGGAGTAAGAGCAAAGACTGGACTGCTTGAAGACAGAATAATATGTCTTGTGACATGTCTTCCATCAGACTGTAACCTTGTCAAAGTTCCAATTAAAAATCCAGCTCATGATAATATGTTCTTGCCCTGAATATGCATTTAATTTGCCAATGGAAGTTAAGCAGCCGTCCATCATCATCTATATTTCAAAGAGTCACTTAAAATCAAACTGCATGCATGATATCAAAGTCATCTTTTAAGTAGCATTTCATTGTATTTAAATAAAATAAATTTGAGTTACTAGAGATAGTATTGAATAAAATTTTCTAGATTCAGGGCAAAATTAGTCAGGTCATATATACAGTTTTTTAAATAATATATATTCATAGATTATGGACAATGCTGAGATCAACAATGTAATCAAGATCATGGGACTTCAGTTCAAAGAGAAATATGATAGTCCTGACAAGTTAAAGACACTTAGATACGGCAAGATCATGATTATGACAGATCAGGATCAGGATGGATCCCATATAAAAGGCCTTTTAATTAACTTTGTACACCATTTCTGGCCAAATCTCTTGAAGAATAATGTTGTGGAGGAGTTTATTACTCCAATTGTCAAGGTATGATTGTACTAGTTATTATTTTAAGTAAAAGTCTGAAGGTCGTCTGCACATGACCTGGTTAAAAAAAAATCAGATCTGACATTTTTATGCCTTTGCTACAATAGTAGGTGGACATTGTGCTTTCTGTCTGTTTGTCCCTCATTAGATTAAAGGTTTGGTGAAAGGTAGTTTGATTGAAAGTTGGATACTGACCACCTTCATGTATTTCGTCTTAAGATTAAAGAATCTGGTGTAGCTAATTATATTCTGATACGATGTGGTATGATTACCAATCTACTAAAGACTCGGAAGTATGAGAAAGAGAATATTTAAACATCTGCATGTCTTCGGGTTCATTTCAGCAACACTTGTCTTGTAAAATAGCTTATCTTACTAGATGCAATGATATTATCTATGACCTTGATGCAATGATATTATCTATGACCTTGATGCAATGATATTATCTATGACCTTGATGCAATGATATTATCTATGACCTTGATGCAATGATATTATCTATGACCTTGATGCAATGGTATTATCTATGACCTTGATGCAATGGTATTATCTATGACCTTGATGCAATGATATTATCTATGACCTTGATGCAATGATATTATCTATGACCTTGATGCAATGGTATTATCTATGACCTTGATGCAATGATATTATCTATGACAATAACATTATTGGTACTAGATTTATTGCACAAGATGTGCATTTAAAAAAACAATGTCTCTCTTCAGGGATGCTAGTGGCCAAAATATTTGAAATACAAATGTTGAAGAGCCAATGAAACCAAACAGGACTAAAACTAATAACTGTTTTGTATATATTGTAGGTGACAAAAGGGAAAGAGGAGAGATCTTTCTACAGTTTACCAGAGTTTGAGGAATGGAAAAGAGATACAGATAATTGGCACACGTACAAAGTCAAATACTACAAAGGTTTTTAACCTCTTAAATCTTATTAATTAATGGTTCATTTTTTATTCATTATAATGAGTGTTTTTCAGATTCATGGTTTATAAGCTAGGGGTGGGTGTCAATTTCTTTTTTGTAAAGTGAAAATGTAAGTGATATTCTGAAATTACCTCTATGTGGATATCCATTTTATTCAAAGTCCCTTGTCTGGGTACTTTGTATGTTTTTAATGGAACAGTCCTTACATCTATTTTCAAACTAGTATCTTATTACTTCTAGGTTTGGGAACCAGCACAGCTAAAGAAGCAAAAGAATATTTCTCTGATATGGACAAACATAAGATTCCATTTAAATACCAGGGTACAGAAGATGATGCCTCTATCACATTGGTAAGCTAAACATGGTAGTTAACCCTTGTCAATGTACAAGTTATGTCCCCTGTTTATTTGAGCATTGATTTTCACAAAGACCAATTGAAATAGTTTGAAAATACCTTATAGCCTTATATTTTACCCCCAACTTTATTGCCAATCATGAAAATTAAAATTTCTGGTAAGTTTCTGACCTTCCAAAACCAAGTTTTGTTTTTGTTTGTAACAAATTCTAGTAATAGACATGATTTAATACACAACAAGATGATCATTAACATAAGAATACACATGTAGAATGACCAACCTACAATTATTGATTCATGTAGTCAATATTGGCACAAATGCATGTATGGTGCTTTACATTAAAGCCAATGCATGTATTCATGCATCTTTTTAGCTATGCTTTGGTAAACTCATAAAACCAATAATCAGATAATATTTTGTGAGCAAATTCATGACGTGTACTTTTATTTCATTAAATCTTCTTTCGGTATTATTTCATCACAAAATTTTGCGTAATGTGTGTCTAAAAGTAGGGAAACTCCTGTTTTGCTAGTTCTTCAAATTGTCCTATGATTTTGTGCATGCCTTTAAGAAATTGTTCATTTTGAATAAAGAAAAGATTTAGTACTTCTAAATACTGTTCAGTTTGAACCAAACAGATTACCAAAGAATGTGAGGCAAAAGTTGTTTCATTTTATATAAAATCTGACTTAGAATAAAACATTTATAATGGAAGATCTAGATGGTTAAATATGGGATTGCAATTATAAATTTATCCTTAAACTTATCAATTTTAATCTTCCTGTCTCTTCAAAAGACTTAAACAATTACTAGAACAATTTTATTAATGTTACATTGTGAATTTGAAAAATTCAGGTAAGGCCAAATAAAAATATATGTGTAGTTCCAGTTACATCCTCAAAAAAGATGAAATTGGTAGGTCGTCATTAAAAAAAAAATTTTTTGGATTGTAAAATCTGGAAAAAAGTTGTGTGTTCACCGAGTCCGCTTCCGATATTATACACGCCCCTACGAGAAGTTCGCTATTTTCTATATATTTGATTGTAATATAAACAGACATGATACGTATGAAGTTAATTTTGTTGCATTCTGTTAAGAATTTGTTGCATTTTAGCTGTAGTGGATACTTCTAATGGAAATTCTGATTACAGAAGTCTGTGAATTTAATTATTGAAAATCACATCCCACAAAATGGGATCTTTCAAAATTGATTTTACAGAATTGAAAAAAAATTTCTATGGGGGGGTTGTGTTTAAACTAGGATTGGTTTGGGTAACTGGAATCACACATATATTTTTATTTTACCTAATACACAATATCACCAGCAGCACAGACAGAAGGGATTCCACTATAATGATAATTAAAATTTTGGAAAATTAAAACGAAATGCAGACAGACACTCAGTCTTGTAACAGTTTTAATAGTATGACAACATGTTTCTTTGTAATTCTAATATAACAATCTTTGATTGCTATGTAAACATAGCCATGTTCTAATTCCAATAAAACATCTGGTGCATGTGTGTGATGTCACAATCAAAATTTCAGTTGTATTTTGAAAGACGCCTGAGCTGGAGATAAAAAAATTGTTTTGTACATATACTACATGTTTTTATTTACAGTACTCTATGCATCTGAATGTTTGGGTAGTTCTTCTTCAATACTATATATGATATGCACAAGTATTACTTAAGGAAAAAGATGTTACTAAATTCCTACAATAATTGCATATAGATTAAAAACTTACCATAATTAAAAATCCAATTGATGCTTGCTTTCTGATTATTCTGATGAACTGATTATAACTTTCCAGCTTATCAATGTAAATGGAATTGTTTCTATTTCAGGCTTTCAGTAGGAAGAAAATTGAAGAAAGAAAAGAATGGTTGACAAACTTTATGGTTGAAAGAAAACGAAGATTAGAAATGGGCCTACCAGAGGTAATACTTCAATGCAACCACATTTGAGGTATCATGGTTTTGTGTTTCCCTTTAAGTGCATAAAGTAGTGGGCTAAACTGCCTGCAAGACCAATTGAAATACTTTAAAATTGGTATTTGCTTTTTTCCACTAACTACACCACAGTAAGGGCTGTACCGAAAGTGATCCTGGTGAGAGGGACTGTTGGGTTAGTTGGAATTGATTAATTGTGGGTGGTTGCATTTCCCTTTGAATTTTGTAAGAATAAGATAAATGAAAATTTTATGTTATGGGGTGGTCGGGTCTTTAAAAAGTACCTCCCATGCTCCCAAGCAGACAGTTTTGAGTCCAGGTGGGTTTACAGTCTTCCTTTTGCCTACAACATGTCCTTCAGAGTTAGCATTTTGAAAAATTGACTGCCCCTTCCTATCTAGTACAAAGCAGTGAAATTTATTTGACATGAGTATATTGCTTTGACTGGGCACTGTGAATTACTGTTATACTGTTGAGTTAGAAATTTTTGTAAGGCTTTACCTTTTAAATATTTTCATTTCAGTTGTACTTGTAGTAGTACAGTTGTACTTTAACATACCTAGACTAACAGTTAAAATATTGTTCCATTTCAGTTGAATTTGTACACTCTCAAGAGAGATTATCTGTAAACATGTTTTTGTTTTAGTGGTACTTGTAAATTCTCAGTCAGATTATATGTAAATACATGTTAACACTTTAGTTGTACTTGATCATACGTCAGCCAGATAGCTGTAAATAAATGGTATTTTTTTCATTTCAGGTGTACTTATATGGTAAAGAAACCAAACATATCTCCTACAACGAGTTCATCAACAGAGAACTGGTCCTTTTCAGCAATATGGATAACGAACGTTCCATTCCTTCACTTGTAGATGGTCTGAAACCAGGTCAGAGAAAGGTCATCTTCACATGTCTTAAACGAAATCTTATCAAGGAATTGAAAGTTGCCCAGCTGGCAGGTTCAGTAGCTGAACAATCGTCCTACCATCACGGTGAAGTTAGTACTAATTGGAATATTTACGTAGTTTTTATGCCCCACCTAGGGACATTATGTTTTTCGGTCTGCGTCTGTTTGCCCGTACATCTGTCCCGCTTCAGGTTAAAGTTTTTGGTCAAAGTAGTTTTTGATGAAGTTGAAGTCCAATCAACTTGAAACTTAGTACACATGTTCCCTATGATATGATCTTTCTAATTTGAATGCTAAATTAGAGTTTTGACCCCAATTTCACGGTCCACTGAACATAGAAAATGATAGTGCGAGTGGGGCATCCGTGTACTATGGAATCATTCTTTGTTAATTTTTCTATTTTGTGGGAATACTCTTAAAACATGAGTTTTAAACAAAAATCTCAATCCTGTTTGAAAACAACTTTGAATCTTTATTACACAAAAGACCTTACTTGATACAATCAGAAACATGCTAAACATTGTGATGCATGAACAAATCTGTATACAAATGTTTGCAAATTGTATGTAGTTGGAAGGTAATATAGTTTACTTAAAAAGATATACAGGCTGTTTTAGAAAACATTGGGGAATGGGAGGCACTCAAATTAATAAGTTGTGAATGGTTGCATTATCTTCAAATTTTATATTATTGGTGGTTGGAGTCTAAAAAAAGTGCCTACAGCTATTACAATAGTTTGCCTAACCAATAAAAAACATATTTATTTTGACTATTTATTATTTCAGTAAAGGTAACAGTATTTTTAATCTTATATAAAGCTTCTGGATGAAATCCTCTCTCAACATTGAAAAATTTGCAATTAAACAAGTAGTGAACTTTATTTGAGTCTTCTTTATAACATTATAAGTCACAAATTCTTTCTGATCGATTAATATTAAAAAAACTACTGGCTTCAACAGGCAAGTGATGACTACCACAGTTTAATTTACATAAACTGTACGTTAAATCAGATGGAAGTATGGTAGAACAATTCTGTAAACCTACTTTTTAAAAAAAAAATTATATATAGATGTGCATGTATATATTTGCCTTGCACACACAGATATATAGATCTTTATAACTTGGTCAAAAGTTTCAGTTTTGATTACGAAATATTTGTTTTTAATTTTAGCAATCTCTCATGTCCACCATCATCAATTTGGCACAGACTTTTGTTGGCTCCAACAATTTGAATCTCTTGTTGCCCATTGGTCAGTTTGGTACCAGATTACATGGTGGAAAGGACGCAGCAAGTCCCCGTTACATTTTTACTGCATTAAGGTATTTAATATCTAATATACTGGATGGAAGATAGAATGATGATGTTATCTGTATATAAACTCATGTACAGAAAGTCCAGGTGATTAAAGGATATTTAAGTTCTTCAGTGGTTGTTTCAGACATAAATACTTCCCAGCTCCCAAATGGTTTTTGAAATATAAAAAAAAAAATTTAATTAAAATTTATCTATTGACTTCAAAAGGCCAAAAAATGTTATCCTTTTGTGTTGGAGATGTTGCCCATTTTTTTTTAGAATTACATGTCTATCTACTTTGATGCAACTCTGAAATTTTAGAGGAGCATGCTATACCATTAGTGTCAATGTAATCTGCTATTATTTGCAACATGACTAGAATGACAAACCAGATCTGGAGTGATTTAAAATGTTATTGTTATTACCTGTAATTAATTACAAATTTAAAATGTATTCAGATAATGTGTAATTGAGTATATTTTTAGTTACTTTTGGAGTTTTTGTTTGGAAACATTTCTTGTTTCTCTGATGCTAGCATGCATGTAAACTGTTTTTATGCCCCTGCCATAATGGAAGGGTTTTACCCTTGTATGTGCATCTCAAAATTGGTTTCCATTCTCTAATTTAACTTAGCCTCAACCAAATACTATGAAACTTATGCACAATGCTCAATACAACAAAACACAGATCAAGTGTGAATTTGGGTGGCGTCACTTTTACCACTCTAGAGTTATGCCCTTTAGAAATCAAATAAATGCTGAATTTTTTGTTTCTGTTCTCTAACTTTTTTTTTTTTTATTTGTTTTTCAATAGTCAGGATTTAATATACATGTACCCCTACACTACCACCTGACAAGGGTATCAAGGGGTTACATATAAAAAATAATTCAGTATACAATATATATCACTGACAAGTTGATTTTTATAATTATACATGTAGTATTTAAGGTTACATATAAATTTTATTTGATTATATTCTCTCGCTCTCTGACTTTCTCTCATACAATACAAATACTCTTCACTCATTTGTTTTGCTACAATATGTACATGATGTATCTTGACTAACATTTTAAAAACAAAATATTTTAAAGAAAAAAAAAAAACAAAAAAAAAATCAAGGCTAAATATTTGCTCATGATATGTAGATATTTTATTCTCTCACTTATATGAAACAATAATTAATTAAATATTACATGTAAAGGAGACCAAAATTTTTCACACACTTGGACTCTATTATTTTTCTTTGCAATATAATATTCAAGAAATTGGTATTTCTTTATTCTATTCTTTAACCCAACCATATTTGGTTTTGTTTCATTTAATTTACATTTGTATATATAGTTTTTTGTAATTATGACTAACAGATTCAGTAATAAACTTTCATGTTTGCAACCAAGAAACACATTCTCTTTGTTAAGAACAAAGTTTACAAAAAAAAGTTTTACTGCATTTGAAAAAGACTGCCACAATTGAAAAGTTATTGGGCATTCAAAAAAAAGGTGTTCAATAGTTTCTTCACCAAGTTTACAAAAAGTACACATCTTGGTGTCTTTTAATTTAATTTTGTATAAAAAGGTATTAGTTGCTATGATTCTATGCAAAAATTTGTATTGAAAAGTTCTTAAATAAACATCTCTACATGATTTTTTGGTTATCCTGAAATATTCTGACCATTCTGTTGTATCAATAATCAGCAGTTCTTCCCATTTCGAAAACTTGACTGTTGGTAGTTCAATAACTTTATTTACTAAATTTTTATATACAAATTTGGCTTTCACATTACCTATAATTCTCTTTAAAAAAATATCACCATTATCAGGCTTATCCAAATCTTGCTTTAAACAGTTCTCTTTAAGGTATTTTTTCATAGTCTGAGGGATTCTTGAAATCAGACCATGATATTTGATAAAATTGTTGATTTTTACTCTTTCTTGAAATTGCTCAAATTTATAAAAATTCGTATTTTCTTTATTAATTAGGTCACTTACTGACTGCACACCTCCTTGTTTCCATTGAATATAATATGGGAAATCATCCAAAGAAGAAAAGTTCAAAATATCTAATGATAAAATGTCACTGACAGAATTCTCAGTATTAGGTTTTGCGATAGAAAAGCATAGTAAAACATCCTTCCAGAAAGGATTTTTACATTTTTTAGAAATCTCAATCAGCTTTTCTTTCTGTAGATGTAAAACCCTTTCACCCCCATACTGTATAAGGTCTGCAAGTAGCAACTGCTGCCAGCCACCAACTGGGTTTGACATCAGTCTTTTTATCCAACTAATTTTTAAATAGATATTAAAGGAATGAAGATGTACCATATTAAGTCCACCTTGTGAAATATCACCAATAAGTGTGTTACGCTTAATTCTGTCTGGTTTTCCACTCCATATAAAATTATAAAATAATGAAGTGAGCTCTGTTAACCTGGATTGTGATAGGTTTGGCAATGCAGTCATTAAGTGTACCAATTTCGAAAGAGCAAGTGATTTAACTACTGTAATTTTCCCCAATAATGTTAGTTTACGATGTTGCCAGCTCTTCAGGATTGCAGAGACTTCTTTAATCTTCTTGGCAAAATTAATTTCTGTGATACAGTTTAAATCTAAAGAAAATTCAATCCCCAAAAGTTTAAAATTTGAATGTGACCAATGAAGTTTTAAGTCAGGACAAAGAATCATATCTGAATACTTTTTGTTTCCAACCCATAGTGCTTTTGTCTTTGAAGCATTTATTTTTAAACCTGAAATTTTATAAAAAGATTCAAAACATGAAAGTGTTTCCCTCAACGATATTTCCCTTCCATCTAACATAAGGAATGTGTCATCTGCATACTGGCTTAAAAGTGATTCATTATCATTTACAGTTATTCCCCTTATTTCAGGATTATCTTTTAATTTTAAAGATAGTAATTCAACACCAATTATAAATAAATAGGGTGAAAGAGGATCTCCTTGTCTGCAGCCTCTTTCCAATTGAAAAAACTTAGAAGTATGTCCATTATTTATAACACAACTTGATGCCCCTGAGTATAAAGTTTCAAACCATTTACAAACTGAAGGCCCAAAATTAAAACTTTTTAAAGAATTTTTTAAAAATAACCATTCTAAGGAATCAAAGGCCTTTTCAAAATCAACAAGTAATAAAAGATCCGTCTTATTATTTTCTTCAAGATAGTGCATTAAATCATATAAAAGGCGTGTGTTCTCACCCATAAATCTATCTTTGATGAAACCTTTTTGTGTATCACTTATGACAAATGGTAAAACTGGTTTAAGTCTATTAGCTATAACAGCAGAAGCTATTTTCATATCAGTATTCAAAAGACTAATAGGACGCCAGTTACTTATATACTGTCTGTCTTTCCCCTCCTTAGGAATGCATGTAATTACACTTTGATACTGAAAATCAGAAAATTTTCCAACCTCGTATCCAAAATGAAGAGACCGAAAGATGAAAGGACCAATATCTTTCCAAAAAAATTTATAAAAGTCTACTGTGTACCCATCAGAACCTGGACTTTTACCATTTGTCATAAATTTTAACGAATCAGCACACTCTTTAAAAGTTAAATTTCCCTCACAAAAATCTCTTTGTTCTTCTGTAAGCTTAATGTTATGATTAAAAAATGATGAATCATCACAATCTAATTTTTTGCTTGAGTATAAATTTCTATAAAAATTTTGTTGTTCCGTTAGAATTTTTGATTGCTCTGATATATGTTGACCTTTATCATCTATTAGTTCTGTTATTGTTTTCTTTATAAAATTTTTGTTTTCTAATTTACAAAAATAATTTGAACATTTTTCACCATTCTCATGCCAGTTAGAGCGGGATCTAAGCAGCAAACCTTCAACCTTCTTTTGTCGACAATTTTCTAGTTCAAGTTTTTTATCAAGTAAAGATTTTTGAACCTCCTCATTTGGAGAATGATTCATAATAGTTTCTAAATGTAAAATATTATTTTCAAGTTTGAGGGTGAAATTTTTTTCCTCCTTGGATTTATTTATGCTGTAATTTATGGACAAAGATCTAATCTTCATTTTCAATATTTCAAAAAATGTTTGATCATTACATGACAAATCAACAGAAAGAAGATCTTCCATATCACCTGACATTTCTGTTCTCTAACTTTAGTTTGCCGCATCCAAATGTTATGAATCTTGTACACAATGCTTATTACCACAAAACACAGATCCAGTTTGAAATTTGGTGGTGTCACTTTTACCATTCTAGAGTTATGCCCCTTTACAAATGTCGTTTCTGTTCTCTAACTTGAGTTTGCCTCTACCAAATTTTATGAAACTTATACAAAGTACAAATTTAGGTAGGGTCACTTTTACTGTTCTTGAGTTATGTCCCTTTATAATGTTATATGCAAGCGGGGTCATCATCTGTGTCCCATGGACATATTCCCCATTTATTTCATTTAGTATGCACTTGGTACTTTGATTGTAAGTAGTGATCATGTTCAGTCAGGTATATATCTCTATAGGGTTATTACAGAAAATAACTTGCATGTGTTATTACAGATACTTTTATGAATTGTCTACTCTTTAATCCTTAAATTTACTAAATCTGTAATAACATATGTTTGTTATTTGTAAAATAAATCATAAATATTTTTATTTTTAATGGGCTCTAGGGAATACTTGAAACTTTGCGCAGAAACTAAATGCATAGCCTTGATAACTATTAATTTAGATTAACACATTTTTCATTAACCATGGTAAATCAATGAGACAAGGCTTTTAAGTGATTAACTTAGCTGTAATAACAAGGCTTAGTTATTAAAGGCATGTAACTTATTAAATGAGACACTTGGGAATTACTGGGAAGCTTGCGCAGAACCTCATTACATGCTCTGATCATTACTTCTTACAATAATTTAAATCATTTGTAATTGAGCATGATCTATGTCTGAGCAAATGCTTTGAAGTGATGTAGAGAAGCTATAATAACACCCTTTAGTTATTACAGGCATATTTGTTCTGTAATAACATAGGTGTGATATGCATGATTGGCAAACTATGAACTGTAATATCCTTCTATAGTTAAGTATACATAAAGACAGTAGCAATATCAATAGAACCTGTATACATTTTAACAAAACTAATGATGTATATTGTCCCTTTGAAACATGTAACATACAAATGTTATCACAGTTCTTTGATTTTTTTGTCCACAATAACAAGCATATGTTATTTTTCTCTAATAACCCTATAGAGTTATATCCTTGACTGATGTTTTAGAAAATTAAAACATTTCATTAATTAATTTCTTTACATTTAAAAACTGATCGGAACTAGATCAAAGTGTTTTCATGTTTAGACAAGATTCAAAAAATTGTTTACTTGAATTTCAATTCAGAAATTTATTATTACAGCCAAATGACTCGTCTTATCTTCCATCCAAATGACGATGCTCTCTTAGAAAGCAATTTTGATGATAATCAGAAAATTGAACCAGTATGGTATTGTCCTGTTGTTCCCACAGTCCTGATTAATGGAGCAGAGGGAATTGGAACAGGATGGAGCACCAAGATACCAAATTACGACGTTCGTGAGGTTGTGGCCAACTGTAAGAGACTGCTGTACGATGAAGACCCAATACCAATGGTTTGTTTCATTTTCTGATTTGACTGCCAAAGAAATATCTTTGTATCACTATTGTCTGACTAAGTAAAACCTTATAACACTTTGTCATTATTAGATTTCACTACATGAAATGCATGTCATGAATGGTGTATTTTGTCCCAATAAAGCCATTTGGAATATTTTGCTGTAACATTTTCATTAATTTATTTGAGAAATCCATTATTTATGATATTTATCCCAATCACAGAAACTAAATATTGAGCAAGAGGAACCCCCTCAAACGGGGTGTGAACTCCAGTAGAGTAGGCTGTAACATTATTTGTAAGTAAGAGTTTAGTTAATTGCAAATGTTTAGCTTTAGGTTAGTTCATTCAAATCATGACCTTAATTGACATGGGGCAATCAGACCACCCTTTTTATAGGAATCCCAGTTTTTCTGCTGAAGTTCAGTGGTTCCCTTCGATCACTCTGGCTTCCTTTAGCAATAACAACTTGCCCCTACAATATAGAGAATAGTACTAAAAGTGGCGTTACAACACCAACAATCGTTCAATTAATCAAATCATGACTGGCAGCCCAATTCGCTGTATACAGTGTAATCGAAGATTGAAAAGGGTCACATTTGTTTCGACTACGACAATTTACATGCCATGTACTGTAATTTTAGAAATTTTTTCTTGCTTTTATTAATGCAATTTATACAAATAGATAAACTAGTTCGATTATTTATTGCGATTTCTGGAAGCTGCATACAAATAGTGGTATAAAAATTTTAAACACGTTTTTATTTTGTGAAACCTATCCTATTGCAATAATGAAAATTATTTTAATAACTTTGGAGTCAATGGAATTGAAACCCCAAACACAGTATAAATCTAACAAACCTGTCCAATAGATTCTCTCCTCTAAAATGTTAAGTGATTAAGATTTGATATTTTTATATTTCTAGATACCAAGGTACAAAAACTTCAAAGGAACGATAGAAGAAATCAGTGGCGACAAATATTTATGCAGTGGTGAGATATCAATTGTAGACGACCAGACAGTGGAAATCACAGAGCTGCCAATTAGGACATGGACGCAGAACTACAAAGAAGAAGTTTTAGAGGTTATGTTGTATGGCAATGAGAAGACACCACCTTGTATTACGTAAGTTTAAACTTTGAACATCATATACATGTATATGTGTACATCTTTTTAAAGATCGCTTAGGTAATTAGTGTCTTAAATAACCCAAAATAGAGGGGTGCAGCACTCCTCTGGCCGTTTAGTTCTGCCCTATGCATTTTTGTTTTCTGAAAGGAAAATAGATACTTTTCAATGCAAAGAAAATCATTTTAACTCCTGGAAAAAACTTTATAACCCAAAAGTATTAGAAATCCAGCAAAAACACATATTTATCTATTCATTATTATAATTGTTTTTCTATTAACATGAACAAGTTGTCCCTTCTCAAACAAGAAACGGTGCATAATCCCCTTCATCTGGTCACCTCTGCCCTTAAATCCTAGCTACAACACTGGTTATATTGTAGGTTTGAAGAACTACACGTCTCATAATCAGGGGTTAAAACAGAACCTGTATTCACCTTGCCTGAAGATGATAGAATTTATAGACGACGACATTAAAAATACTTTTTTTTAAATGTTAAAAATTTCAATTGGTCCTTTTTTGCAAATGCATGATGATTTATTCTTTATAACAAAATTTTAATTCACATCATACTTTCAGGGATTACAAAGAATACCATACAGATACAACTGTGAAGTTTATAGTGAAAATGACACCGGAGAAACTTGCTCAGGCTGAAGAGACTGGCTTACATAAACTTTTCAAATTACAAAGCACTATTTCTGTCACATCAATGGTAAGTTTAATCTACCATTTTCTACATAAGGAAATACCTGTATCAAGTCGGGAATATGAGTTATTTCCATATTGTGATTTAAGATTAGTGATAAAATTAACATATTTCTGTAGGCAGGGTTGAATAATGTACATAAGAATAAGAGTTGCTTGTTCAATTTCAATTAGCCCCAATGATCTTGTCAGTTCAAATAAGTATAAATCTGATTTGCACACTAAGCGTGTAAATGACATCAAAAATAATGTGTTCAATTAAAAGAGTTTTCTGCTAAGGGCTATTCCAGAAAAAAAATGTATGGGGGGGGGGGGGGGGGGGTTTGGAAGGCAGTTTGTTTCAGCACCCGCCACCTAGACAATTGTAATTGAAAATCATAGTGCATTATAGTGTGAAAAGTTGCTCTGATACCCATCACCCATGTATCATTCATATAAAGTGCCTTCCAACAACCCCCCCCCCCCCCTACATTTTTTTCTGGAATAGCCCTAATGATGAAATGAATCAAGCGCAATGATAAATGGTTGGTTTAGCTTGATAGATTATTCTGTGGATTCATCATTATTCCTGGGATATAAATTTTCATGAATTTCATGGGTAACTGAAACCACAAATTTTTAATATTCAATGAAATACATTTTCTAAAGGCTTGTATACAGAATTTGGCAAATCCACGAAAATTGTTATTCAAGAAAATAAATGAATCCACAGTGAATGATCTCTTGGTGCAATTTTGTTAACTGATTGAATAATAATATTCTTTTTATAGGTCTTGTTTGATCACCTTGGATGTATAAAGAAATACAATAATGTAGAAGAGATCCTCAGAGAATTTTTTGACCTGAGATTAGAATTTTATAAAAAGAGGAAAGCTTATTTGGTAGGCATGCTGGAATCGGAAGCTCTAAAATTGGACAATATTGCCAGGTTTATCTTGGAAAAGATTGATGGAACAATAACCATTGGTAAGAGTTGGAAAAAATGGAAGACAAAATTTTCAAATGTTTAAAATTCCTATTTTTTAGCTCACCTGACCCGAAGGGTCAACTGAGCTTTTCTCATCACTTGGCGTCCGTCGTCCGTCGTCGTTAGCTTTTTACAAAAATCTTCTCCTCTGAAACTACTGGGCCAAATTTAACCAAACTTGGCCACAATCATCATTAGGGTATCTAGTTTAAAAAATGTGTCCGGTGACCCCGCCAACCAACCAAGATGGCCGCCATGGCTAAAAATAGAACATAGGGGTAAAATGTAGATTTTGGCTTATATCTCTAAAACCAAAGCATTTAGAGGAAATCTGACATAGGGTAAAACTGATTATCAGGTCAAGATCTATCTGCCCTGAAATTTTCAGACAAATCTGACAACCTGTTGTTGGGTTGCTGCCCCTGAATTGGTAATTTTAAGGAAATTTTGCAGTTTTTGGTTATTATCTTGAATATTATTATAGATAGAGATAAACTGTAAACAGTAATAATGTTCAGCAAAGTAAGATCTACAAATAAGTTGTCATGACCAAAATTGTCAGTCGACCCCTTTAGGAGTTATTGCCCTTAATAATCAATTTTTAACAATTTTTTGTAAATTTTTGTAATCTTTTACAAAAATCTTCTTCTCTGAAACTACTGATACAAATTTAACCATACTTGGCCATAATCATTATTAGGGTATCTAGTTTAAAAAAATTGTCCGATGACCCCGCCAACCAACCAAGATGGCCGCCATGGCTAAAAATAGAACATAGGGGTAAAATGCAGTTTTTGGTTTATATCTCTGAAACTAAAGCATTTAGAGCAAATCTGACAGGTGGCAAAATTGTTCATCAGATTTAGATTTATCTGCCCTGAAATTTTCAGACAAATCCGACGACCCGTTGTTGGGTTGCTGACCCTGAGTTAGTAATTTTACAAAAATTTTGCAGTTTTTTGTTATTATCTTAGATATCATTATAATATCTAACATGTCTAATATCTAATACTATTAATTATGATTTTAACCTTATTTTACATGATTTCCAAAGCATCAGTAAATACAGGTGAGCGACACAGGCTCTTGAGAGCCTCTAGTTTTTGTGTTCTTAAGGATTTCCCATAGAAAAAAAATGACTTTGCCCTTCCTTCTTTGTATAGGTAGATGTGTTGACCATCCACAATTTTCCTATACCAATTATAACTTATATAGGGTATCAATTAAACTTTACGAAAATCTGTTTGAGTCCTTTATTTCTTCAATCTCAGATAAGGAATAAAAGATAATAAAATGATTTCTGCAACTTTACTTCCTTGATTTTTTACAAATTTACTGAACTGGGTAAGAGCTAAAAAAAACTTAACAGAATTTTTGTTTTTTTTATTAAGATCCACTTTCTAAGTCTTTGCATGTCTTTTTGATTTAAAGTACTGTGGATTCATTGTATTTTCGTGGATACTTGATTTTATGGTTTTTACCAAATTCTACAAATAAGCATATAGAAAACATATACTTCATTGAGCGTTCACCTTTACCCATGAAATCCACCAAAAAATTGGTATCCCATGAATAATAATGAATCCACAATAATCTTTTTAATTTTAACCTGTTTATTTTAGGCCTTATAAACTGAGGTTTTGGTTAAATTTGGTACAGTCTAGTTGTTAAAATCTGCATATATTTCTCTTGTCTTAAAAAGTATTCTCTGTATTGAACCCCCAAAATAATTATACCCCACGCAACGAGTTGCGGAGGGTATAATGTTTTTGACCCGTCCGTCCGTCAGTCCGTCAGTCCTGTTTCTTGTCATCGCAACTCCTCTCAAACCACACAACAGAATTTCACGAAACCTTTTTAGATAATAAGGACATACTATGTAGTTGTGCATATCGACAGGAAATTACGGTTCAATTTTTTTTCTAGGAGTTACGCCCCTTTGAACTTACTTGTTTTAATGTACTACTGCAACAGTTTGTCATCGCAACTCCTCTGAAACCACACAACAGAATTTCATGAAACCTTTTTAGATAATAAGGACATACTATGTAGATGTGCATATCGACAGGAAATTACGGTTCAATTTTTTTTCTAGGAGTTACGCCCCTTTGAACTTATTTGCTTCAATGTACTTCTGCAACAGTTTGTCATCGCAACTCCTCTGAAACCACACAACATAATTTCACGAAACTTTGTAGATAATAAGGACATACTATGTAGATGTGCATATTGACAGGAAATTATGATTCAATTTTTTTTTCTTATACAATTTTTTTTTCTTGCACATATTTTATTTCTCCAATGACAATGTGAGGACGTGGGGTATGTGAGCACGCTCACTAAGGTTCTTTAATTGTTGTAGGTATTTATTCTGTTCACTACAAAAAACCATTTCGAAAAAACTGTTGTTAATTCATATTTGCTGTGACTTGTTTAAGACAAAGTTATTTGAGGTTCTTTAAAGGCACTTGCATATCAGTTTTTATGGGTTGTTGGGCCTAGGATATATTTCAGCCTTAAGTATATGGTAAACAAATTATGGTTGCAAGCAGAAAAATGATTTTTTTTTACTTTTTTTTTTTTAGAAAATAAGGCAAAGAAGTCCTTGATTGAAACATTGATAAGAAAAGGATATGATTCAGACCCAGTCAAAGCATGGAAAGATTCACAAGGAAGATCATCAAAGGTAAGATTTATTTAGAACTTTTTAGTCAAGTAGTCCCGACGGGGAACAGACCCAGTCAAAGCATGGAAAGATTCACAAGGAAGATCATCAAAGGTAAGATTTATTCAGAACTCTTTAGTCAAGTAGTCCTGACAGGGAACAGACCCAGTCAAAGCATGTTAGATTCTCAAGGAAGATCATCAAAGGAAAGATTTCTTTAGAGCTCTATAGTCAAGTAGTCCTGATGGGGAACAGACCCAGTTAAAGCATGGAAAGATTCACAAGGAAGATCATCAAAGGTTAGATTTATTTAGAGCTCTTTAATCAAGTAGTCCTGATGGGGAACAGACCCAGTTAAAGCATGGAAAGATTCACAAGGAAGATCATCAAAGGTTAGATTTATTTAGAGCTCTTTAATCAAGTAGTCCTGATGGGGAACAGACCCAGTTAAAGCATGGAAAGATTCATAATGAAGGTCATCAAAGGTAAGATTTATTTAGAGCTCTTTAGTCAAGTAGTCCTGATGGGGAACAGACCCACTCAAAGCATGGAAAGATTTACAAGGAAGATCATCAAAGGTAAGATTTATTTAGAGCTCTTTAATCAAGTAATCCTGACGAAGAAGATTATATTATAGTATTGGGGGATCACCTTGTCAATTATCTGGTTTCATCTTGGTCGAATTTCTGACCTGAAAAAAAGAAAACATATCTAAGAGTTAAAAAACATATACTAAACACAACTAATAACGGAAATGTGGTTTCAGTTATTTTTGTTGATTGAGGAAAAATTGTATTTCGTTGTTTTTCCAAAGTCTGCAAAGAAGACTATAGAAAATTTGTAATACCTTGAACATTTAAATTTGTGGTTCGCTTTAACCAACGAAAGACACAAAAATCAGAATCCCACGAATGATAAGGAATCCACAAAATATGACTAACATAAAGATTTCAAATTGTAGGCAGAAGATGAGGATATTGATGATGCAGACAGTGATGTTTCAACCACCTCAAGTCATGATTTTAACTACATTCTTGGTATGCCTTTATGGAATCTGACTAAAGAAAAGAAAGATGAACTGCTAAAACAGAGAGATAACAAGGTAAAGGAGTAATCTGTTGCCTTGGAATTCTTTGGTAGTTATTATACCTGCCACTCTAAAGAAGGGGAGAGGGGACTGGTTTACATCTGTCCTTTCTGAAGGAGGGGAGAGGAGACTGGTTTACATCTGTCCTTTCTGAAGGAGGGGGAGAGGGGACTGGTTTACATCTGTCCTTTCTAAAAGAGGGGAAGGGGGACTGGTTTACATCTGTCCTTTCTAAAGGAGGGGAAGGGGGACTGTTTTACATCTGTCCTTTCTGAAGGAGGGGAGAGGGGACTGGTTTACATCTGTCCTTTCTGAAGGAGGGGGAGAGGGGACTGGTTTACATCTGTCCTTTCTAAAAGAGGGGAAGGGGGACTGGTTTACATCTGTCCTTTCCAAAGGAGGGGAAGGGGGACTGGTTTACATCTGTCCTTTCTGAAGGAGGGGAGAGGGGCTGGTTTACATCTGTCCTTTCTAAAGGAGGGGAGGGGGGACTGGTTAACATCTGTCCTTTCTGAAGGAGGGGAGAGGGGGCTGGTTTACATATGTCCTTTCTGAAGGAGGGGAGAGGGACTGGTTTACATCTGTCCTTTCTGAAGGAGGGGAGAGGGGACTGGTTTACATCTGTCCTTTCTGAAGGAGGGGAGAGGGGGCTGGTTTACATATGTCCTTTCTGAAGGAGGGGAGAGGGGCTGGTTTACATCTGTCCTTTCTAAAGGAGGGGAGGGGGGACTGGTTTACATCTGTCCTTTCTGAAGGAGGGGAGAGGGGACTGGTTTACATCTGTCCTTTCTGAAGGAGGGGAGAGGGGCTGGTTTACATCTGTCCTTTCTAAAGGAGGGGAGGGGGGGACTGGTTTACATCTGTCCTTTCTGAAGGAGGGAAGAGCGGACTGGTTTATATCTGTCCTTCAGCATGTCCATGAAATTGTCCTTTTTTTTTTCAGGAATTGAAATTTTTCTCACCAGTATCATGTTTATAGACGAAGGTCGACACTTACATTGGTCCTCTTAATATTCATTTTAGGCATGAGTAGCTTTGGTCAAGTTTTGCATTAAGGTCCATATCTAAGCAACCTATCATAGAGGAAACAATTAACCTCTTTATGGTAAACTTTGTATTCTTAAACTATAAAAAAGACTTCTTCAGGATTTTAATAGGTAATGGGCGAAGGGAGATAAACTGTTATTAATGACTATTTCTTTATTTATTTTGAATTGTCTGTTATTGGGGTAGTTTCTTTTTGGTATAGAAGAATTGTCATTTCTTAAATTTTGAAATTTTATTGCAGAAAGAAGAACTAGAAAAGTTAAAGTTAAAAACAGATAAGAATTTGTGGGAGGATGATCTAGAATTGTTCCTGAAAACACTAGATGTAAGTAAATATACAGCAATGCAAAAAAGATTTCAATGTCTATGGACATCTATTCCTATATTGTTATCATCATTTAGTCTTTCAGTTTACATTCAAGAGCCTATACATGAGAATATATAAACAAGACGTTAGGATTATTGATATACAACGGGGTTGGCAAATGGCCATTGGAATTTTCTAATTTCTGTTCAACACTTCAAAAATAAATGCACAAAAATTTCTGAACAAAAAAGTTTGTCAGCGTTTTTACCAACAGTTTTGTTCCTACAGACTGAAAGAAACTATATATGATTGATGGTACTTACAATAAATTGAATAAAAAATGTTCGACCAAATATAGCTGCATCGTACCGATTAAATTTGATGAAAATGAGAAAAAGTAATAACATAATAAAATTGACAGTACTGTTGATCTGCTATTCTTGTTGCTAATACAGGAAGTAGAGCAGAAAGAAAGAGAAGATGAAGTAATGTCTTCTAACAAAATGGTGAAAGTGAAAGGCAAGGTGAAACCTAGGAAAGTAATGCAGTTACAGACTATGCCTTCACCGATGGGTAGGCGTGTGGTACCGAAAATAGACTCAGCCATCCGTAATAAAGTCCAAGCTGCTGCTGCAAAAAAGATCAGGGACAAGGTAAAAAACTATTATTTTGATATTTAATTAGGGATCATAGATTTATTCTAACGAGGAAGCTCCAAGCATGCTCGGAGGATGCTCAGAGCTTTTTCAGTAGGCTCTTCTCTGCAGTTTATGTGAAAATAATTATCATGATCCATTAAGATGTCAATCAAATCTACACCACTTCTATAATAAGGAAAGTAGAGCATTATAGAGGAAGCTCAATTAACACCTGTGTAAACATCTAATCTATTCAAATACATTTTGCCTGAAATTTTACAAAACTATAGAATAGATTAGAAATTCTTCAACAGTACTGTGTAATGCTTGGAAAGAAATCTCATGTCTCCACAAAAAGTGAAAGCCATTTAACAAAAAATATACAATTATTATATTTTTAAAATAATCATTTCTTTTTTTATAATAAAAAAAAATCTCAAATTTTATAATTAGATGATATGATTTAAAAATAGTTTATATTATATAATATGCTACATAAAAGTTATCAAGACACAAACAACAGTCAGTGGGCGATACTAAACGAGTTATTTTTTTTAGTTACTTATATTAATAGGTATTTTTTGTTTTTTTTTAATTATTTGATATAATCTCAATTGTTATTTTAAATGTCAAAAGTGGACTAAATGTAGTTTTTAAGAATTTTTATATCATTTCATTAAGTGAAATTAAGTATTTATCCAACTTGAGATGAGTATAGAGAGATTACTTTAAAAATAATGACAAAAATATTACTTTTATAAATTATTTTATACATCTTCGAAAAACTAAGCATACTTACAATTATTTAAGGAACATATGTAATTGTTTTTGATAAATATTTCAAATTGTAAATAACTTCAAGTCTTAATTAAATCACAAGGTTCCATCCATTTATATTTGTTCATCTCTAAGATTTTGAAGGAAAATGTTATTTTAATAGCCCAAAGAGACCAATCTATGACCAAGAAGTGTGGCATCAGAAAGGCAATTAGTGTTTCAGGAGGATTTAAATAGTTTTATACTGCATGGGGAAAATAACCAGACGTGAAAATTTGTTAAAGCTTGTAAAACCTGTATGAATGGACACCTATAGAAATAATATTAACAGAAGTTACTTATTCATGATATATAAGTAATATTTGAAACAACCTTGTTTTCAATATAACTTGTATAGGTTATTTTGAAAATTACTAGTTTAAGTAATGCCCTTAACTAAACAATGGTATTTTTTTTATAAAATAGCAAAGTTAGTTTTTTATATAAAATATTTTTGCAATTTTAGGGGACATGACTACTAAAGCTTGTAAACAGAGAAAAAAAAAGGGGATAGAATTTGGTTGGTTAATTCTGGTGATGTCTTCTTTCTTATATGCACTGAAAAATTATGTTGTTTTATTACTATAGTACAGGACAAGAAAAAACTTTACTCATGTCAAGTATTTCTTTATTTAAAACATAGATAAATTCTGCACATATTTTTGGAAAAATACCAATTAAACAAAGACTGATAGGGGGAAACAATTTTATATTAGATTTTCATTCAAGTACAGGTCAGGATAAAACTTCACTTATATAATTATGCTAAGTATTTCTTTATTTAAAATAAAACCAAATCTGCACAATTATAAAAAAAATGACAATTAAAGTGAGACGTACTAGAGGGAAAACAATGGTGGTATTACCTCCTCAACTTTTCTTAGAGTAGCCATAATTTTTTTTATAAAAAACTAACTTTGCTATTTTATAAAAAAAAAAAAAATGTCATTGTTTTAATAGTTAGGGGCATTACTTAAACAAGTAATTTTCAGAATTACTTATACAAGTTACATTGAAAACAAGGTTGTTTCAAATATTACTTATATATCATGAATAAGTAACTTCTGTTAATATTATTTCTATAGGTCTCCATTCATACAGGTTTTACAAGCTTTACCAAATTTTCACATCTGGTTATTTTCCCCATGCAGTATAAAACTATTTAAATCCTCCTGAAACACTAATTGCCTTTCTGATGCCACACTTCTTGGTCATAGATTGGTCTCTTGGGGCTATTAAAATAACATTTTCCTTTAAAATCTTAGATATGAACAAATATAAATGGATGGAACTTTGTGATTTAATTAAGACGAAGTTATTTATAATTTGAAATCTTTATCAAAAAAATTTACATATGTTCCTTAAATAATTGTAAGTATGCTTAGTTTTTCGAAGATGTATAAAATAATTTATAAAAGTAATATTTTTGTCATTATTTTTAAAGTAATCTCTCTATACTCATCTCAAGTTGGATAAATACTTAATTTTACTTAATGAAATGATGACAAAATTCTTAAAAACTACATTTAGTCCACTTTTGACATTTAAAATAACTATTGAGTTTATATCAAATAATTAAAAAAAAACAAAAAATACCTATTAATATATATTAAGTAACTAAAAAAAATAACTTGTTTAGTATCGCCCCCTGACTGTTGTTTGTGTCTTGATAACTTTTATGTAGCATATTATATAATATAAACTATATTTAAATCATATCATCTAATTATAAGATTTGAGAATTTTTTTTATTATAAAAAAAGAAATGATTAATAAATATAATAATTGTATATTTTTTGTAATATGACTTTCACTTTTTTTGTGGAGACTTGAGATTTCTTTCCAAGCATTACACAGTACTGTTGAAGAATTTCTTATCTTTTCTATAATTTGTAAAATGTCATGCAAAATGTATTTGAATAGATCAGTTGTTTACACAGGTGTTAATTGAGCTTCCTCTATAATGCTCTACTTTCCTTATTATAGAAGTGGTGTAGATTTGATTGACATCTTAATGGATCATGATAATTATTTTCACATAAACTGCAGAGAAGAGCCTACTGAAAAAGCTCCGAGCATCCTCGGAGCATGCTCGGAGCTTCCTCGTAAGAATAAATCTATGATCCCTTAGATGTATTTTGTTTATCAGATGTAAAACTACTAATTGGACCCAGTTTGGAAGAACATTTAAGAAAAATAGTACATGTTTCAAAAGATTGTTCCTATGCATAGCTGTAACTTTCAAAATATGTCAATTATTTGGTTAATTTTGGTATGAAATGAAAGATCAAGGACCTCAGATCACTGCTGTACACTTACTAAATGTTTGTTTTTGAATGATATGAAATTGAAAGAGAAGGGCATAATTTGCCTGTTTCTCAGATAAGAAGTACCTGTTTTTGCACTTCTTTACTTCCAGGAACATGTGTGCACTTATTCAATTAAAGGTATGATGAATTTTTCAGCAAAAGTCCTGCTTAATTTTCTTAAAATGACAGCCACTTTATTTAAAGTAAAGCCAAAATGGCTATGAATGGTGGAAGTTGAAGAATTTAGCATAGAAAGCAATAGTGATATGAATGATATGAAACATTTGGGGAAATTGAAGTGTAAACATACTTCATGTTATGCTAGAAAAATACATTGGTTTGTTATTAATATTTGTGATCAGATATTCATAGTGCATCTTTTGTACCAAGGTGAGTGTGCTGTTTCTAAACAAATTGTCTCAATTCCAGATAAAGAAAGAGGGGAAGAACCTTAATGATGAATTTATTAAAAAGGAAGAGATGGAAGAAGAAGAACCAGAACCTATGAGTTTGTTTGATCGACTGAAGAAAAAAGACAAAGACAATAAAGTGCTGGATGAATTGTCAAGTGCAGAAAAAGCTGCTCCCAAGGAAAAGAAAAAAAGAGGTAAATAGAATGCTCTGACCTCTGCAATATATTTATTCCCTTTTCCCAACACCTGTGCGAGAAGATTTATGGTTTGTGCATCTGTTTTGTTTTTGAAAAAGTTACTTCAGCTCAAAGATAACATATTGTCAGTGCATACATCATGAATTGTAATATAGATAAATGGAAAAATTAGGTCACTGTTGTACAATTCAGAAATTTTGAAGTAAAATTTTATTTTGAAAATGAGATTTCATTGTTAGTAAAAATTTTGAAATGGTAGTGACCAGAAATCCACCATCCAAGAGGGAATGAAGATTTGATTGGTGAATTATAACAGAGCATCTTAAGAAGTAACAATTGTTGTTGATATAAGAATTAAACTTTGTTTTTAGTTAAATAAAAGAAACTCAGTTTTCAAACAATTGCCATTTCCTATGCTTTACAGAATTTTTTATTAATGATTAAAGTATTACATTTTGTGGGTTTTTGATAATACCAGAGGGGAAGAATGTTTGTTCTTATTCAGAAATCAATTTATTGTAACACCTTTAAACTACACTCCAATTGCACTTAAAATAAATATCAAAGAGTTTGAAATAAACATAGTACACCATAGGCAGATGTGTAAGAAGAAAACTGATTTGTCCTACATTTACAAGGGTTGATAATTTAACTCATATTTTAAAGGTAAAAATATATCAACTGTCTTGAAAAAGGGGTGGGGGGTAATTGACATCTTCTTGTTTACCGAATATTTATAGATTGGGTATCCTTATTGAGCAATTGTTCACAGCTCAACTTGTTTATAATTTAATACATAGAAATCTTCAATTTCTTGGCGTATTCTGAATATACCAAACTTGAGCTGATTAATAAATATTGTTTCAAAATACTTATAAATGTTTACAATAATAATAATAAATAATAATAAATATTAAATTTAGAGACGGCATAGTATACAAACAAGTACATAACACAAGCTCTAATGAGCTTTTAACCGACATAAATAATTACAATAAACCGTATATCATGTTATTTTAGCGTCTGGTTTTATTTGCAGTTAAGGCCATTGAAGGGTTAGTTAAATTAACACTGTGTTCATTATTCCTGTTTTAGTACCTTGTTTAGTACTTTTGAATAAATAGTGAAATGTTTGCATTAAGGCAATTTCCTGGTACAAAGCCAACCACAAAAATTTCCTGATATACTTTGCAGTGCCGTAAATGTTTCTTCTTTTTTTTTTAAAGCACCAAGGAAGCCAAAAGATCTAGACTCATCTGGATCACCAAAGAAAAAGAAAGGAGGGAAGAAGAGAAACCCATGGTCAGATGATTCCGATGTTTCGGAGGAAGACATATCTGATGATGATATGGATGGTAGCTTCTTAGAAACTGTAAAGCCTGAAAACCGAACGCCTAAAAGAGCTGCTGGTATGATTTAGAAAGTTTTGTCTTTGTTCTTTGACATGGTACAATGAAACAGACATGTAAAGCACATTTATGTTGTTTTTGTTTTGATTGGAAGGCTGTTTAATATGACTATTTATACTTTAATACTCAAGTATTTAATATCTCAAAAAATAAAATTAACAGAGAGACTAAATGGGTTACTTTTTTAAATATAGACCAAAAATTATGAAATTAATAGTCAGAGTTCATATGCATCATATGTTAACATGCATGTATGACAAACAGGTGTCAACTATCATAAACAGTGGTGTAGCCACTAGAAAAATAAATTGTTAGCAGAAGCTTAATGATAATGGTAAAATTCTTGTGGGAAATAAATGTATTGTTGAAATTATTTGTAAGGACATCTATTTTAATGGAATAGGCCTTAAAAAAAGCTACCAATTTGTTATATTTTACTGTCAATGATAGAAAAGTTACATTTTCTAACTTAAGACGAGGAAGAGAAAGTTCTTATTTTGTTTTTAATGCTGTTTTTATTTTTTCAGCTCGTAAAGCACAGACCCACTTCAAATCAGAGTCTGACGATGAAGCAATAAAGTCTGATAGTGGCGATGATGATAACTTTAAACCAACGAATTTAGAAAATGGTGGATATGAGCCAGAGAAGATGTCTGACGATGATATTGGTGCTGATGATGACGATGATGATGACTTCACTGCTAAACCTCCACCGAAGTAGGTTATTAGGATTTAAAGGTCGTAATGACTTCACTGATAAACCTCCACCGAAGTAGGTTATTAAGATTTAAAGGTCATGATGACCTCACTGCTAAACCTCCACCGAAGTAGGTTATAAAGATTTAAATGTCATAATGACCTCACTGCTAAACCACCACCGAAGTAGGTTATAAAGATTTAAAGGTCATGGTGTAATTGTCAAGGATTTGTCATATCATTTGATTCTGTTTTCCTATTTTACCTTTACTTTTTGTTGTCAGAAATCATAATTTTAGAGACAGTTATTTCAAGAGTGGTGGATAATGTTTGTCGTAGGCACTGGCTATTGAAAATGAAAACTTCAATACGTTGAAGGACTTGAACATTGATAAGGCCAAGAACAATCATGTGTTCATGGTTTACTGACCGACACACATAGTATGGCTATGGACTCATGTGTCCATGATCTCCTGACCGACCACATAGTATGGCTATGGCTAGGCCAAGAACAATCATGTGTCCATGATTTCCTGACCGACACACATAGTATGGCTATGGCTAAGCCAAGAACAATCATGTGTCCATGATTTCCTGACTGACACACATAGTATGGCTATGGACTCATGTGTCCATGATTTCCTGACCGACACACATAGTATGGCTATGGCTAAGCCAAGAACAATCATGTGTCCATGATTTCCTGACTGACACACATAGTATGGCTATGGCTAGGCCAAGAACAATCATGTGTCCATGATTTCCTGACCGACCACATAGTACTGCTCTGGCTAGGCCAAGAACAGTCGTGTGTCCATGATTTCCTGACCGACCACATAGTATGGCTATGGCTAGGCCAGGAACAATCATGTGTCCATGATTTCCTGACCGACCACATAGTATGGCTATGGCTAGGCCAAGAACAATCATGTGTCCATGATTTCCTGACTGACCACATAGTATGGCTATGGCTATTAAGTTTTTATGATGATTTCTTCAGATACCTTTCGGCAACAATTTACTTGTTGTAACCACTAAATTATTTAATCAAAATTCATAATAGAATGGACCAAAACCATATTTATTTTGTCCATCGACAAAATTGCAAATGGTGAATCATCAATATAATACTGTAACCAGACTGAAAGCTTCGCAATCTCTCATATTTTTTTAAAAAGCATGATTTGATTTTATCTTTACAGAAAAATCTCCAAACCTAAACCTAAACCTGCCATTTCATCAGATGAAGAAGATCCCTGGGATAAAATGATGGGAACAAAGAAAGATACAGGTAAATAGAGTTTTATTACATGTCTGATTCAAAGTTTTATCTAAGAAGTTCACAATAACAAAATTGTAAAATGTACATTGTCTCATTTTTTACATTTGAAATTCAGTATAAGAATCAAATTAGGGCTTTTTCAGATATAAATGTAAAGGGGGGGGGGGGGGGGGGGGGGGGTTGAAAGCACTTTTTAGCTCATCTGGCCCAGCTTTTCTCATCACTTGGCATCCAGCGTCGTAGTCCGTCGTCCGTCAACTTTTACAAAAATCTTCTGAAACTACTGGGCTAAATTTAACCAAACATGGCCACAATCATCATTAGAGTATCTAGTTTAAAAATGTGTCTGGTGACCCCGCCTGCCAACCAACATGGCTGACATGGCTAAAAATAGAACATAGGGGTAAAATGCAATTTTTGGCTTAATTCTCTGAAACTAAAGCATTTAGAGAAAATCTGACATGGGGTAAAAATGTTGATCAGGTTAAGATCTATCTGCCCTGAAATTTTCAGATGAATCAGACAACCCGTTGTTGGGTTGCTGCCCCTGATTTGGTAATTTTAAGGAAATTTTGCAGTTTTTGGTTATTATCTTGAATATTATTACAGATAGAGATAAACTGTAAACAGCAATAATGTTCAGCAAAGTAAGATCTACAAATAAGTCAAAACATGACCAAAATGGTCAGTTGACCCCTTAAGGAGTTATTGCCTTTATAGTCAATTTTTAACAATTTTTCGTAAATTTTTGTAATCTTTTACAAAAAATCTTCTCCTCTGAAACTACTGAGACAAATTTAACAAAAGTTGGTCACAATCGTCATTAGGGTATTTTGTTTAAAAAGTGTGTCCGATGACCCTGCCTGCCAACCAACATGGCTAAAAATTGAACATAGGGGTAAAATGCAGTTTTTGGCTTATATCTCTGAAACTAAAGCATTTAGAGCAAATTTGGCGATAAGTTAAAATGTTCATCAGGTTAAGATCTATCTGTCCTGAAATTTACAGACGAATCAGACAACCCGTTGTTGGGTTGCTGCCCCTGAATTTGTAATTTTAAGGAAATTTTGCAGTTTTAGGTTATTATCTTGAATATTATTATAGATATATATAAACTGTAACAGCAATAATGTTAGCAAAGTAAGATCTACAAATAAGTCAACATGACCAAAATGGTCAATTGACCCCATAAGGAGTTCTTGCCCTTTAAAGACAATTTTACACAATTTGTTCATCAAGTTTGCTAACATTTAAAAATTTTCTCCTCTGAAACTACTGGGCCAATTACCCTCAACTTTTAACTAAATGTTCCTTAGGGTATCTTGTTTATAAATTATATCCGAAGTTTGTATCCATCGACAAACATGGTCGCCATGGCTAAAAATAGAACATAAGGGTCAAATGCAGTTTTTGGCTTATATCTCAAAAACTAAATCTTTTAGAGCTATTGTGACATGTGGTAAAATTGTTCAGTTGGTCAAGATCTATCAGCTCTGAAATTTTCAGACGAATCGAACAACCCATTCTTGGGTTGCTGCCACCAAATTGGTAGTTTTAACAAAATTTTGCAGTTTTTTTGAATATTATTATAGATATATATAAACTGTAAGCAGCAATAATGTTCAGCAAAGTAAGATCTACAAAAAAGTTAATATGACCAAAATTGTCAATTGACCCCTTAAGGAGTTATTGCCCTTTAAAGACAATTTTACACAATTTGTTCATCAAGTTTGCTAACATTTAAAAATCTTCTCTGAAATGCAGGTGAGCGATTCAGGCTCTTGAGAGCCTCTTGTTTGATTGAAGTGGTCTTGAGCTGATAGTGAATACTTTTAATTTTAGAATCTCAACCAGTAACATTGGACAGCGATAGCGACAACGAATTACAGGTGAACAAGGATCCAGTCAGTAAACCAGCTGCTAAAACGAAAGCTCCTCCTAAGAAGAGAGCCCCTGCTGCAAAAAAAGGTGAGTTCTCCATAGAAATCATGTGATGGGTAAAGATAAGAGCTGTTGAAGGGAAAAAAATCTTTAAAAGCACATGTTCAGAAACTCCAACACCCATAGACATTTTTATCATGTGCTTAATTCTAAAATATTTTTTAGACCTAATGGACCTGTAGAAATGTATGTGTACATTCTTTCAAGACCCCAGATTAGTCAGTGGAGCTCTATAGTTATTATTGTCTGTCTATCCCTCTATCAATCAGCATTTCTATGTTGTACAAAAGTCAAAATTTCCTCAACAGATTTCCAACAAATTTTATGCACTGTAAATACATGTAAAAGGAATGATAAAAAAAAAAAAATCACAAATTTTGTGAAACATATATTTGTGCTTGAATTGCAACCAAAATTGGCATATAAGTTAAAGACTGCAAAATTTTTCAGCCATATAATTGTGTGGAGATTTCGTCGTCGCCATTGATCAAAGACATTTTGTTTCCAGACAAAATCTTGAGTAGAAGTATATGGATCTATATGAAATTTTACCACAAGGTTTCATACCACAAAAGGAAGGTTGAGATTGATTTTGGGGGTTATGACCTCCTCTGCTGCATAGAAATAAGGGGCCAAAAAGATATTGATTTTGGGCCGTGTTTTCAAGTGGGTCTAAATTAGGGTGCAAATGTAAACTTTGATTGATTTCAATATGCTGAATCTAATAATGTACATGTAATTAGATTTTGGATTTTGGGCCCATTTTTCTATTTGGTCCACATCAGGGTCAGAGTAAGGGTAAACTTTTCTTAAAAACTTGGGAAATGATTTCTTGAGTATATTTCATGAAATTTTTGTTTCTTTTTATTCTTTTAAGTTAACTTCAGAACTAAATAGGTCTTTAGGTTTTTAAAATTTTATACCAAAACTGAAGATTTCAAAGAAAATTGATATATAGGTCCAAAGCAAAAACTGGTGTACGACAATAGCAAATTTGCCCCAAAAAATGCTTTTGCTCGGATTTCAATGAAGATTAATATAATAAGCCATTTTATTGTGATTGAGGTGCCACAAATGAAAAAAAAATGGTATAAACTTTCTTTTGTGAGAAAATCTTGCACTTTAGTCAGAATTTTTGTACTTTTCAAAAATATCCTTGTTCTGGTCTAAAGTTAGAGCTTGTGAGCCAAATAGATGTAGGTTTGTGTTCAGTATGTCTGGATAATAAATTGAGCAAATAATTTAATTACGCAATGTGTCATTTTTGTCAAGCCTGCAACTTTTGTCGCAGAAAGCTCGACATAGGGATAGTGATCCGGCGGCAGCGGCGTTAGCTAACTTCTTAAAAGCTTTATATTTTAGAAGGTGGAAGACCTGGATGCTTCATACTTTGTATATGGATGCCTCATGTTAGGAAGTTTCCGTCAGTCACATGTCCAATGTCCTTGACCTCATTTTCATGGTTCAGTGACTACTTGAAAAAAAAGTTAACATTTTTTGTAATGTTAAATTCTCTCTTATTATAAGTAGTAGGATAACTATATTTGGTATGTGCGTATCTTGCAAGGTCCTCATGCCCGTCAGACAGTTTTCACTTGACCTCGACCTCATTTCATGGTTAAGTTTTGGTGGTCAAGTCCATATCTCAGATACTATAAGCAATAGGTCAAGTATATTCAGTGTATGGAAGGACTAAGGTATACATGTCCAACTGGCATGTGTCATCTGACCTTGACCTCATTTTCATGGTTCAGTGGTTATAGTTAAGTTTTTGTGTTTTGGTCTGTTTTTCTTATAATGAATGCAATAGGTCTACTATATTTGGTGTATGGAATGATTGTAAGGTGTACATGTCTAGCTGGCAGGTGTCATTTGCCCTTGACCTCATTTTCATGGTTCAGTGGTCAAAGTTAAGATTTTGAGTTTTGGTCTTTTTTTCTAATACTATATGCAATAGGTCAACTATATTTGGTGTATGGAAATATTTTATTATCTATATGTCAGTCGCGTAGGTTTTATTTGACCTTGACCTCATTTTCACAGTTCATTGCTCAGTGTTAAGTTTTTGTGTTTTGGTCTGTTTTTCTTAAAATATAAGCAATAGGTCAACTATATTTGTTGTATGGTAGAATTGTTAGCTGTACATGCCTGGCTGGCATGGTTCATCTGACCTTGACCTCATTTTCATGGTTCATTGTCAATGTTTAGTTTTCTTGGTTAATGTTAAGTTTATTTGACAGTTGTAATAAAGTTTTATTTTTAGGACTATCAACATAATATCTGTATTATCAATGATTAGTAAAGAAGGCAAGACATTTCAGCATGTGCACTCTTGTTTACAATGCAATAGAAAATGAGCTGTAGGCTTGACATGAGCAATTTGAAGAATCTACTAGATTTTGTCTTATTTTGTGTTTGGCTTTCAACAAAATATGATGTGGTATAATATTTATTCCAAACTGATCCCTGGCGGTTGAAATTGTGGTAAAAACTTAAGTTTTGTAATATTTACAGAGAGCACATCTGGAATTTATTTCTGGTGTCAATATGTATGAAAATTGACATCCCATGAACTTGAATTGCTTTGTATGCATCAGCCTCTGTAATGTTGCTGACATGTCAGTTTTCAATGATTTTTCTGGAACACCCCTTGAACAGGTGTCCAATCCAGCAGATTGTATGCAGTCCTGCCTGTCTTATAGTTTTAATTTTCCACTAGACATTAAACAGTCGTTCATTATTATCATCATCATCATCAATTGGGGCTAGATCAACTCTCCCTGGTGGTTATTTTGTCTGAATAAGTCTAGGGGAAACATTTATTTTTATTGAAGTCTGTTGTTCATATATACATATTAAGGCAAAAAATGATGCTGCATGAAAAATATTTGTACTACATCTATTGCATATCATTTCTTTTCATTGCTTTATTTTCATTGATCCATAGATCCCAAACAGCCATCCATCTCTGATGCTTTCACAAAACCAGCTGTTAAAAAAACTAAGTTGCTGTCATCCAAGGCAGCTAAACCTCTCATGATTGATGATTCTGACGAAGATTTACCTATGCCAGGTGTGGTTCTGCATGACTTAATGTTACATTTTGTTATTACAAAATTTTGATATTTACCATTGTTACTTAAAATTTGGTATGTCAAGTATGACAATCATTATGAGGGGCTTTGTTGTCAGAGTGGTCTAAATAGTTCACTACCCTATCAACACTCAGATTGTAAGTTTGAAATTGCTTTTGGCAGTTGCGATTGACTGGGGTTGGTAGTCTTGCTGTTGAAGGTTGGTGGTTCTCTCTGGGAACTCTTGATTCCTCCACCAATACAAACTGATCTATTGAAATAGTCAAAAGTGTTAAAGTGGTCAATCATTTAGACATAGAGAGACAAATAAATACCATTTCTAAGGCTTAAGTGACAATCATTTAGACATAGAGAGACAAATAAATACCATTTCTAAGGCTTAAGCGACCTGTCTTGATAGCCCTATTCATTAATCAATCAAAATAACATAATTTTAAAAAAGGTTTGTGAATTTAAGTATTTTTGCGATTTCAGGGGCAAAAAATTGGCTCTTAATTTTTTTCAGGGATAGAAATAAGATTTTATTTTAACTGGCCAAGGGGGCTAACTCCTTTCTAAATTAACTTGCCCTTCCAGACTTTTACTGGCCATATAAAATTGATAGATGTAGTAATGTGTTAACTCTGTAATAATTCAATATCAAAAGTAAGATAATGATAAAGAATGGTAATTGTACAACATGGACATGACAATTTAAACATCCTTGACCTTTTCTTCTCTATCAATAACATTACACAACACAAAATACATTCCTAAATTTAAGGAATAACTGTCCAACACATATAGTATTTAGATCTCTGAGGAACTTTGATGCTGATGTTGAAGATAGGTTAGACTTGGCAAATTGTTTTTTAAAATTAAGAATGTGACCACCAGATTTTTTGTAGCATGTTATGAATGTCCCTCTGGTATCTTTTGCCCCTCTTTTATGGAATGCCTATTATAGGTAGAACATCCTGTAATGAACGACCCTGTTGTTTTGTATTGTTTACATATTTCACTATACATTCCACTTTTAGCATTTTTTAACCATTTGAATTCAGTCTCCCACTTAAGTAAATATTTCCCATTTTGACCTTCTTTTTCATAAACTCTTTGGTTTTCAATTCTGAAGTTATTTATTTTGGCCTTAGGAACGTAATTGTTAAGAAATCTTTCCATTTTAGATCATTCTAACTTTAATGTATGGGCTGACATTTTTAATAATCGAATTCTCGTTGCCGATGTGACTTATTATTTGGACCAATCAACATGCGATGAGAACTCATGAAAACGTGACTTGAAAAATTGACAAATCAAAAACATGCATTACGAACTCTCGCAAACGTGACTTTATATTTAGACCAACGGGATCTCAACCAAATCAAATAAGTTATTTATACTTTTATAACACAACTATTTATATAGGCATATCGATTTCAACTTCAATGTCCCTTTGGTATCTTCCACCTCGTTTTAAGAATATTTAAAAGGATGTTCTACTTATAAAAACGTACTTTTAATGAAATTACTACCGAAAATGAAGTAGACTGGCGGGCAGATGACCTAATAAATCAACTGGTCCGTCATGAAATTCAGTGGCCAGGGGCCAGCGGGGACCGCTTATTTTGAATCCTTCTTCTAAGTGGTGTTTGAGTAAACCACAAATTATATCAATATATATAACCCAGTGAATTATAAAGACAACAGTATAAATCTACTGATGGAATGTATATAAAATTGAACAGTTATAAATGATTTGTATCTTTGCAGAGAAAGTTCCTAAAGAGAAAAAGCCAAGGAAGCCAAAGGCACCAAAAAAGAAAAATAGTTCAGATATGGATGATGATGATGATGATGATGATGTGAAGCCCAAGAAAAAGAATGTTGCAAAAAGACCTAAAAAGGCAGCATTCTCTGACTCAGATGCTTCTGAAGATGAGTTTTTGCCTCAAAAGAAACCAGCAGCCAAGGTAAGGGTAACAGAGACTTATGGACAAAGATATTCACTCTATCTTTCTCCCTGTGACAAGTGTATCAAATCAGAAACACTAGCTGTGAAGTCGTTGGAATACTGTTGATTTTAGCTTTAACATTGCTCAGTTTTTTCTTTGTTAACAACAATGAAAGTTTTAAAATTTCTCAATTGATTTATTACTGTGAATTCATTTATTTTTCGTGGATTGAGAAAAACATGCTGTTTTGGTGGATATTTGATTTCGTGGATTTGCCGAAGTCTGCATTCAACCTTATAGTAAATGTGTAATTCATTGAGCATTTAGATTCATGGTTCACATGTACCCACAAAATCCACGAAAATTGGTATCCAACGAATAATAATGAATCCACAGTAACACTGTTTGATAGCAGTTTGAATTGTGTTAAACCTAGTCTAAACATGAAGGATGCAGAATTTTCTCATTTAATAACAGAAGAAGAGGGTCTGGATGTATTTTATAGAATAGAGAAAATAGGCAAAAGGAAAAAAAAAACAATAGAGAAAAACCTGACCAAAAAATATAGAAGAGAGAAAAAGGCTTAATGATTAAAGCATACACAAAGGAAAACCCCTCATTAAGGGCACTGGAGATGATTTTTGTCAGGTCAGAATTCAATTATGATTTTTTTTTTTTTTTTATTTTAACAGAAAAAGAAGACAGACAGTGATGATGATGATGACTTTGGCTTTGATGATGCGGACATAAGTACTGAATATGTACCAAGGGCAACAACTGGCAGATCAAGAAACACTGTTAAATATACATTTTCTGATGAAGATGAAGATTATTGACCCTAAAATTGTTAATTTAATACTGAAAAATACAGGATTTGTTTTTAAAGCATATGAAGTAAACATTACCTGAAGGTGTTATATTCAGCAAAACTTGGGAAAATTTCTGGTGAAACAGGCATTAATTTCAAAAAGGAGTCAAGACAGTTGAAATTTAACACTGAAATACTTTATATTTATGTAATGGTAATATGTAGTTACCACAATGACGAAGGTTACAGTGAAGGTTGAGTGTATTTATTGTATATTTGTATATTGATTTTTTTTTTCCAAATGGAAATTTTTACTAACATCCAACTTTTATTTTCATTGTACTTGTTCCAATTTTTAACAAAAACAAATCTCATTTTTACATTGTTTTGTAATATATTGTTGAAAAAGATCCACATATCTTGTGCTGATCATACAAACGCAAATGGCAAGGTTGTAAATATTCAATCTATCAATAACATTAAATATATAACATTGAACAGCAAGCAAAATGTGCAAGTATTCGTGTATAGGAAATTGTCATTTTTAAGGTTTGAAAATTGCATAATCCAACATGATTTTGTTAGTTTTGAGTCTATTGAATGATAGTGATTACAATTGTTTTGAAAGGGAGCAACATCATTTTATGTCTTCTTTCACTTTTACCCACATTGTTTATCATCTACTTTCACTTTCTTTTCATTATGTATAAATGTGGAATGTGTGTCAGCAATCATTTTGTAACATTGGTGTGTACATTCAAGCCATTAAACATCAAAATAACATTAAAACTGGCTTAAGATCATTTTAGTTGTCTTTTTTTTATACCCAGCTATGATAGTAGGTGGAATTAAAGTCTGAGATTGCTCTTACTTTTAACAGCTTTGGGGTTTGTGGGACATCAGAGAGCAGTACATATAGAAATTAAAGAAATTGTTGACTCAGAGAGGACTGCTAGTGTCTATCGTAAAATTTTAAAAGATCTATTTTCAAGTTGGATAAATCATACATCATTTGATTCCTTATTCAGTTTACTTTTATTTATGTACTTACCCCTGGAACACAAACAAAAACTTGTTTCCCTATAACCCCCAACTTTTGCTTGGCCTTGAATCCAAAGAGGTCTTTAGATTTGCACTTAAATATAAGTTTTCACACTTTTTTTCTATAAATAATGAATTATTTGAATCAGATATTTGGTATACAGTCATATAAGTTAGAGATCAAATTATGTTCTGTTCTAGTTGTGCAAAGTTTTGCCTAATTTGGGGACCTAGAACAGAAAGTTGAAAAACTTTTTAATTTGATGTCTGAATGGATTGATAACATATTTGGTATTTTCTATCACAGGAAATTTGTTTGAGGTTTTGTTCTAGTTCAGCAAATTTTGAAGGAGTTGATTGAAAATGTAAATTACCCCACTTTTTTCTGCAACACCCAAATTGGATATTTAGTATGCATATAAAATCCTTAGAAGTATTAAACCGCTTCTGAGTTTGATTCCTGTTGAGCCATTATCTTGGTAGTTGTGAATATGACTTAATAAATTATTGTTCAGACTTTTCAGATGATGTTAAGGTCAAAACGACCATTTAAAACTAAAGTTCACTTACTTGTGCTTCCTGTTGATTCATTTTCTTGATATTAGTGAATTAAGAACATAGGCAATTGCTTAATTATCAGTTTTCAACATTATCTGTGTTTCCTGAATCAATTTATTAGATATTTAAGTATACAGTCAGTATCATAATGGGTAAAAAAAGAGGGACGAAAGATACCAGAGGGACAGTCAAACTCATAGATCGAAAAACAAACTGACAAAGCCATGGCCAAAAATAAAAAGACAAACAGACAAATAATAGTACAGATGACACAACATAGAAAACCAAAGACTAAGCAACACGAACCCCACCAAAAACTGGGGTGATCTCAGGTGCTCCAGAAGGGGAAGCAGATCCTGCTCCACATGTGGCACCCCTCGTGTTGCTTATGTCATTACAAATCTGGTAAATAGTCTAATTTGGTAAGTCACATTCGTTAAAAGGGAGGGTATTGTAGTTACGACATAAGGAACATATCTGATATCATCTGCGAAACGGTTATTCAATAACTGTCAACCAACTCGTGATGGCGTCCGTAAAATTTACGAAGGGATGACTTCAACTTCACCATTTGGAACTCTTGGTTTAATAGCTTCCTTGTGAGCAGCAATCCTCTATCAAGGAAATCATGATGGGAAACACAAGCCCGGAATATCGTATCAATTGGGAGATATATACTCCGTATGCAGGCGCTGCTGGAATGTTGCTACATAGAAATGGAAAGTTCACAATTGGGAAGCTGAAATCATCTTTTTTGTAGTAAAGTTTTGTTTTCAACCGACCCTCATTGTCAATTTCTAGACGTAAGTCAAGATATGAGGCAGACTTAACTGTAGTATCCTTTATCGCTAGTTCGATGGGATAGATTCGTTCAAAATAGTCACCAAATTTTGTATTATTTAGTGAGAGAACATCATCTATATAGCGGAACGTAGAGTTTAAGGATATTGCTAACTTCTTCCTAAGAAGTTCCTGTATGAAGTCAGCATCATAATAATAAAGAAACAAGTCAGCAAGAAGAGGGGCACAATTGGTTTCCATTGGAATTCCGACAGTCTGTTGAAAAACACGTCCTCCAAACGTAACAAATATGTTGTCAATCAAGAAATCAAGCATCTTGATAATGTCAGTTTCAGAGAATTTTTTGTTTGAATCAGAGTGATTCTTTACAAAGTAGGATTTATCCCTCCCAAGACAAGATACTTTCGCCATTCTTTTTAATGAAACAAAGTAAAACCAACTCTTTCAATTTGTCTTTTAGTTTGAAATGGGGAATACTTGTGTCAAGTGTAGAAAAGTCAAATGTTTTAATACTATTGCAAGATGAGAGAGTCTTAGATTGTATGTACTCTAAAAGATTTTTGGAATTTTTTAGTATCCACATCTGATTCACGCCACCTCTAGAATAGGTAGTTTCACAATAACTTTGGAGCCCGGCTTTGATTGCTGATAAAATAGATGTTAATAATTTAGAAAGAGGTTTCGTGGAGCACTTGGAAGACCCAGCAATATACCGTTGTTTGTAAGGACACTTATGTAGTTTAGCTATCCAATACAGTGATGGAAGATCCAGTTCTTCATCTTTGGTTGAAATTCCAAAGGAACATAGAACAGACCTATGATTATCCAGGATTTCCTCTTTGGTAAGTGTCGTGAGGGTATATGTTGAGTTTCCATGTGAATTAGTCAATACCTAATTCATTTATCAAGCAATCTATATAATGATATTTACACACAAAAACGATGTTGTTTGGGGCTTTATATGCGGGGACAACAACATATTTGTCATGGAGGTAGGACAAGTGTTTTGCAACATTTGGGTCTTTAAAAATTGACGTAGCGTGGGTATTGATATGCCCATTTAGTTTCTTAATTCGGATTTGTATCAACGACCTCACAGCCTTAATCCATTCGGAAAGAGTATCTACGTCTTCTTTCTCGCATTTAGCCCATTGCCTGGCATAATCCTCGACTGAATCCATCAGTATTTTGAAGTTGTATTTCCAATCGATGGATTTAGGCTCACGATATTTCGGACCTTTGGATAACAAATTTCGCAGGGAAGTGTTATTGACAATGTTGAGGTCTCCGGTAATAACATGGCCAGCCGGATTGTATGTGAATTGGGTACTAGCACAGGTGCAATCAGGAGGTTTAGACTGAAGTCGTCAATGTTGAGATCCTGCAAAACGTGTTTGTAATTGAAAATTTTAGTTGCAATTGGTTTGGTATAGGTATTATTGGTACAGACTGATCTTTAAAATAAGGTGGTATTTTCGACTGAACTAATTTATGATGAATGATATTGCCTAAGTTGACGCCATCGAGACCTTTGTTGGCAAAGGAAAGTTTAAGAAAAGATCTTTTCTCTTTTTCATCTTTTCCAATGCGAACTGGTTTGAAAAGTCTGCAACTTGCAATATCCGAAATGATAGCTGTAAGTTTGTATTGGTTTGAATGAGGGTTTGTAACAGTGGTTTCCAAACATAAATTAAACAGAGAATGAAGTTTTGAAAGGGGTAATGAATACAGTTTCGTGCGAATGTGATGAATGCCTAACGGCTTTTGTATAAATGGCAGCAAGTCATTAATAGAGACATCATGCAAAGTAGGTGATGTATATTGACGATGACCATGACTGCGTCTACGTCGAGGAGTAGAGTTGAAAATATTCATTACATTCACCGAGCTACAGGAAGGACTAGATAGAATACCTATACCATCAATTTTGTCATTGCAACCATATGGTGTCGCAGTTCCCAATTGTCGAATCCAGTAGTCCTCTCTTTGTCTACGGAGAGGCGTAGCAAGTTGAGGATTGATAGTCTTGTGGTATATTTTTTCGATTATACGAACTGTCATAGAAACGATGGAATGATCAGTTACATTTATTTGCAAGAGTTGTGTTACCTGGACTGGAGATAAAAGCTTTTAGAGAAAGAAAGCCTGTGTCAGAGTTTGGGTAATGACTTCAGTTGTTGACAATATCCACTTCTATTAACGAATATTCCAACCAAAATTATTGCTAGTTACTCCCATCTACAACAATAACCCCTTGATGTCTCATATAAGTGTAAATGTTACAGCCAGTACAGGTCAGGATATAGAAAAAAGATAACATGGTTGAAATAGTTAGACGACTCACTATAAGAGTACTTTCCCTTGTATAATAATTTTTACATATTAGTGCCTTTGCAAATACTAGTGAATAGATATAATTTACATTTTATCGCAAAATAAGATCTACAAATAAGTATACCTGACGGAAATCAATTGGCTTCGTATACCAGTAATGGCTCATGGAACAGGCCTTCCAAAAAAAAAATTCTGGCCTTGGTTGAAAGTCTCAGAATGCGAGACAGGGATTCAAAGGCGGCAGCATAAACTATTTGTATAAAGCTATATATTTTAGATATAAAGAAGGTAGAAGACCTGGATGATTCATACCTTGTATGCAAATACATTATGTTACGAATTTTCCATCTGTCATATGCCCATCGTCCTTGGCCTCATTTTCATTGTTCAGGGACTGCTTGAAAAAGTAGAAGGGTATACAGTTTTTGACACATCCGTTGGTCTTCTTTTTTTTTTTTTTTTTTTGAGGCTTCCTGTTGTCGGCGTATTACATTTGTGCGCAAAAATCATTACGTTTGTGCACAGCTTTTGGTTACATTTCCGTACATTATTTTACAGGTAAACTCGGGTAAATACATGTAGATTATACTTATTTATTCATTTAACTGTTATTTTAAAGCAGGAGAAGTCCCTTTTATTATGCAAAAGTACTTATTCCTGGAAATATATACAGATAAGAATGTTTAGTATGCTTGGATTCTGCTGACGGTAGCGATGCCCAAAGACTTTGAGGAAAAAGGGTATCTGGCAAAATACCTTTCGTACACTCATAATTTTTCCTCCGACTTGTTTCTGAAAAACGAAACTACATGTTTGTGCCTTCATGCAACTTTACAAATTGACTTAAATTATTTACTAAAGCGATCACTTTTCGGTAATATAAGGAAACAGAATACTGTTTACTCTGAAATATTCACAATTAAGTTACATGTATGTCTTAAGCTATTACAGGATTTCTCATGATCACTTCATATCTTTTTAGAAATCAATATGAAAAATATATAATTTAGATATGTTCAAAATTCATGATAGCTATAATCATATTTATAATGAATTATCTTTATTTT